TGGGGTTGAGGAGGTGTCGGACTGGGATACGTCGTCCGTAGCTTGGACTTGGGCCACGGCGTTGTAGTCGCTTCCGAGTGTGTTGAAGTCCGTGGCAGCCGTCGGGTTCACCGTCAACGCGGCCAGCGCGGCAGTCAGGCAGGCGAGTCGACGGAGCATGGCGGAGGTGGGGGGTGGAGTGCGCTCGAGCTGGCAAATTGAATTGTGCTGCGAGGGACTTCCGCTGTCCGAAGGACTTCGACTTGAGGCGCGGTTGGATTAATCGCGGCGAGCGTGGTACGGTATCGGCTTCGAGACGGTGCTGGGGCCGGAACCACAGCAGTCTGCGGATGCTGGAAGCTCGCCCTTCGACCACATGGTTGTCTTCTCGCCAGTGTCCTTTCACTAGTTTTGCCTCGATCGCAGATGGCGACCGAATGGGAGTGGAGTGGAGTGGAGGCATTCATCTAGGCTAGAGGCATCTTGCATACTGGAACGTGCACCTGTCTCTATCTACCGTCATCTGCTCATCGCAAGCCTGACATTTCACGCCAAAACACTCTCGGGAGCTTTGATGCAGCCTCGGCCATCTGCCCTGAGCTCCTGTTCCAGCGGACTCGAGCGTCACGCGTTGACCAGCAGCACGTGCCCCGTATCAGATACTGGTTGTGCTGGACTGTTCAGAAGGTTACGCTCGCAACTCGACGTCACCACTCGATGCGCGTGGGCCTCAAATGCTTCCTGGAAACGGTCGTCTTGACCGACTCCGTTTGCATCGGCCACCTCATCGAGGCAATGGTGCTCTCTTTCCGCATGGCCGAGAGAGATCTCGCGTAGTTAATGGACTCGCGAGCGCTTCACCGTAGGCAGCAACGCAAATGCGAACAGTTAGGTGGGCAGTTTTACGAATACTTTGCGTGCCTGTTGCCTTTCACATGTCTGTGAGATGCCAAAGATACCAGCGGATTCAGAGCCGTATTGCTCTATCTGCGATGCTACACACAGCAACTTGCTAACGGCTGGGGTAAGGATCAAGTCACGCGCGGCTTGCCTTTCGTCTTAGTATCACTCGTCAAGGCGTCTGCGATGCGGAGCAAAAATTTCCACGCCTGGAATTGTTGGCAAGCCGGTCACGGAAGGAGCTCTTATTCGCGTACTGTAGACCTTGGATTTGAATCCGTAATATAACCGTCCGGTGAAACGAACACCGATGGCATCGACCAGCGAGACGACGTCTAGCATCCATAGCGAAACCACAGAGGATCAATGAAGTGGACCAGACAGACGAGCTTGCTATCCCATGAATTGATCACACCTTACTCTCTCAAAGTGCTCGCAATTGTTGAAGCACAATGACGAAGACCTCTTCGCACGGCTGGATCTCTTCGCGGGTGTACGTTTGCTCCATCAGCGAGTTAAGGTTGTCTACGGCGTCCAACAAGTTGCGCTATTCACGAAACAACGCGCGTACAAAGCAAGCATATAAGCGTTAGTGAACAATACAACCGCTCACACAGTTTCCCGTCGCCTTACCTGCACGGGCTTGAACAGGATCGTCTCCGTGGATGAATTGCGTAGGTACAAGTGAATAGTTTGCAGGATTTCCGGTAACGTTTCGCGCAGTTGATGCGAGACGCTCGCGAGCACGGTATTGACTTCGGCGGGTGCTGTGAACGCGCATTGTCGGAAGTCGAGAGCTGTCGCCTTTTGCGTCTGTTGCACATGGGCGATCTGCTTCATCAGTGCGAGCAAAGGCTGGGCCAACTGCTGCAACACGATCTCAATGAAGGCTGTGCAGCTCTTTTTGAGCTCTTGTTCCAGCTCCTTCTTCACATCTGCCGTCGTCTCCTGGATATGCGGGATGCCTCGAGTGAAGAGCCCCACGATGCCATTGGGTCCCGAGAATCGAAATAGCGTCGACGCGTCCACGAGGAGCTCGTTCATCGCATCTGCGCTGCTCGTGAAGTCCAGCGCCTTGCTGGTCTGCGCGAACTGAATCTCGAACGGTGTAATCTGCTCCCGCAATGTGAGTAGGTGCTTCACCAGGAACAATGAACCATGAAGACCCCCTTGGGTTGCCATGATGTCAGCAGAAGCCATCTTAAGTGATGCTGTACAAATTTGAATCGCATCCTGCGCCAGTTCCTCGAAGATCTCCATCTAGAATGACCGCATTTAGAGTAAATGGTTAGCGCTTATTGTCCCGGGAAAAAGTGTGAAACATACACTCACCTTGACGAAGTGATATCCCTTCGAGAGACACATCAACGTATGCTCAAGCGACGGGTACCATGTAGCATAGAGCGATGCACCAGTCTGCTCTGCTGCTATCAGCTTAGCCGGGTAGTCGAGGTCAGCAGCAGTAGGCACGTAGCCTTCGATTTCGTCGCGGATGTACTTTTGCATGCACAGAATAAGTCGTTCCTGCGCGTCCTGAATCATACGATGCATTACCGGCTCAGCGTAGCCGACAAGCGCTGCGCGCGGGGTAATAGATGCCTCGATCACCTCGCTCCTCAGAACCTGAATGACCTCACACAGAACTTCCAGATCCTTCTGAGCTAGAAACTGAGGCCTCACGGTGTTGTACAGCAGCCCACTCAGCTGGAAGATCAGGCGTCTAGCAGGAAATAACAACAACAAGTTAGCGGATGCTCAACGAATGTTGTGTCCGATGATACGTACTCGAACGCGTTCTCGTTGTCATCCTCACTCTGATCGTCCTCGCCCAGGCCAATATCACCGCCTGAAAAGGTGAAGAGCTCATCGCTCGGATCGTGGCCGAAAAGCTTCAGGAAAAGTCGAAACTCGGCCTCGCACACCTTCAGCAACTGGGTACAACTTGCGCGGAGCACGTTGACGATATCCGACGTCTGGGAAACAGCGTCTAGCCACGCGCCCAGCACAGGCGACAGCAACTGCACCCGTTGGGTAGCGTAGGCGTCCGCCACCTCTCCGAGCACGCGCAAGTTCTCCGCACTGTCCTGCGGCGACTGAGCGTTCAGCCTTTCAAGCTGCTTCGCCACCGCAGCGAGCGCGGGCGCCACCAGCTGAAAGTTCACGTAGTAGGCCGAGGTCTCGTCCAGCTGGCTCACCAACGAAATCGCCACGCCGCTCTGCTGCGCCGCCATGGTCTCCTTCTGCACGGCCTCGCACACTGCGTCCTTGGCCGCGTCCAGTCCGCTCAGCGCGTAGTCCTTGAGACACTGGATGCCCCCGGCCGCCAGCATCCGATAGGCCTCAATGAAGCACGCCGAGTCCTTGTACCCCAAATGGTCCGTGAGGTAGGCCACCGACGCGTCGATCTTCTCCAGCGCCTGCTCGAACGCCGGCGTCGTGGGGTCGATGCCGCGCCGGTGCTGGAAAACCTGCACGGCCTTGCTCGAGTCCGTCGTCACGGCAGGTGATGAGGCCCTCGCTGCGCCCGCGCGCTCCATCAGCACGTGGCCCGGGCCTCCTCCTCCGCTGGTGCTGCTGGAGGGTGCTGCGAACTTGACGCCGAAGCCGAGCGCGTGCGCGACGCCGTCGATGGCCGTGAAGTGCGGCATGGGGGCGGCGATGGCGGCCACGCGCGCGTCCAGCGCCTCCACCTGCTGCAGGACGTCCTCGAAGCTGCGGTACAGCGCCTGCGTCTTGGCCGCCACCTGCACGTGGCTGGCCTCCATCTCGGCTACGAGCGCCTGCGAGGTGTGCGCGTGCGCGTACAGGGCGTCCCACTGCGCCATGCAGGTGTCCACCTGGGTGGACAGGTGGACGAACGAAGTGTCCAGCTGGACGGAGGCTTTATTATTACTGGAGGACCCTTCTGCCGCCGCGTCGACCCGCTGGGCGACAAACTCGCGCAGCGTCTCGGGCGCCTCCTGCCGCCGCTGCGAGCGCACGAGCGACGCGTGGGTCTCCGCCTGCGTCTTGAGCTGCAGCCGCCGCTCCAGAGAGAGCAGCAGCGCCTCCTGCGCCGCGCTCAGACGCGTATCCCGCACGCCGCGGGGCGCCGACTCGGACGCTGACGCCGAAGGGGCCATATCCCGGGAAGTTGAAAAGCGCCAAGTGTTGCGATCCATGCTAAGTACGATAATTAAGTACGCGCGATAAGTACGATTGTGAGTCCAAGTTGAAGAGGCCTTCAACATGGATCGGCCTGTTCAAAATGGACCCGCCCCAAAACTCGCTGGTCACGCTTGAGGAAGGGCCAGCGACCCTCGAACAGTGAGCATCCACGCAGCCAGTGGATTGCTGAATGAGGCTGACAACGACGGCCTCAACGAGCCGTTCTGGCACAGTCTACTCGAGGTCTCATAGACCGGGAGCTCCACATCCAGCAGTGATTCTGGGAGCTAAAGAAGCGTCTAGAAAGTAGGCGAGTTTGTGTGCTTTCGTTCGGATAGTGGATTGTCGACTGATGAGAGCGTAGCGTCGGAAACGCGACTACCGGTAGAAAGTTTTCAGGAGACGAAAGCCTGTTGTTAGCGGCATTCGAGCGCTGGAACTTCACCACTCCACCGCGTCAAGTTGAAGTGCTTCGTCCAGTTGACAGACAGTAGCGCTGCTCGAGTCTCTTCGAGGCTCTTCGCGCACGAGGTCTCTCAGCCTTCTGCATACCCAAACTTGCACTAGGTTAGCCCCGTAGCAATTGCATCATGCGATCCGAGCAAACCCTGCTGCCCCTCGTTGGAGGCGACTACGACTTTATCGTCCCACAAGCCTGGCCTGACGACGTAGTCCATATCGACCGCAGCCTCTTTTCCGCTTCACAACCATACCCAGTTATGACGACATCGGCGTACAACGACGAACCTTGCAACTGCGAACCGTGCTGCGTTTCCAACACCGGCACTCACTTGGCCAGCGCGTGCGTCAACGCTAATACGGCCACCATCTGCGACGACTTCAACTGCTTACTCGGTCCAGCCTGTGGTAACCGGTTTGAGCCACGGTTTTCACTCGACCTTGTGGAATCTCGGGTCGGGCTTGGCGTTGTTTCAACCCAAAGGATCCCCGTGGGGCTTTCATTATCGAGTACGTCGGTGAAATACTGTACGAGAGCGACGCCATTGAACGCGCCAGCCGACGGTATCAAGCAGCCTTCCGCACCCTGGCTGACTGGAATGGAGGAACGAAAGTATACGTTGACGCGCTGTCGTGCGGCAATGAGAGTCGGTTTATTAACCACTCTTGTGAACCGAATTGCGTAATGAACGAGTTCAACTGGACGAACACGACCCGCCTCGGGATATTTGCGGCGGCCGAGATACCTCCTCTTCAGGAACTCACCTTCCGATACAGCGCTCGCAACCGAGAACTCTTCAATTGCCAGTGCCTTGCTCACGCTGCGGCTTCTTAACCCCAGTGAGCCTGGCCGTAGGATAAAAGAAAGGATCAAAAGTTCAGCGCTTTTTACAGAAACGACTGCTGGGAAATACGAGTATCTGAAGCCACACACACAAAGCCTTTTCCTTCCTCTACAAGATACTAGTGTCCACTTGGTGTCTCTCATTGTCCATCATTGCGAAATTGCCGCATGAAAAGTGTCTCTAACAGCTTATCAAAAATCCAGATTTATCCTATCCGCTAGGATAAAAATCGCATTTAGACTTGAGCTGTATTGGTCTGAATACCTCTACAATTTTATGTTTCCAACGTGGCTTTGTCAAATGCGACACGACCGATAAGATGGGAGACGCCTCCGATACAAACGCCAAGTCATTTTTTATCCTACGGCGGCCTCGCTAGGATAAAATGGCATGTGTGTACCACATCAACAAAGGATTTGATCCTTTTTCGTAGGATAAATTTCACTGGGGTTAAACTTCCTCCTGGATCTGGATGCGATCTTTTCTTCATACGCGTAAATACATAACAAGGAGATGTTTCCACGTAATCGTTCTTGTGTCCGTCATACATACTTGGCAGGCCTCGTCTACAGCTCCTAAATCAAAAAGCATGTTAGCCACCGTACGTGTTGCGTCTCTGACGCAGACCAACGATGTTGTGCAACAGAAGCTCTGGCATCAAGCCATCACTACAACGTGCAGGTGACGGTCGGATCGCCTCTGTACTCCATATTGCTGCTCTACGAGTCGCTCACGCATGTCGTGGTTCACCCCACCCACGCGCTCGACTGCTACACGAATATTGTCTCTGGATCCTGGACTAGGCCTAGCCCACGAACAGATTCATCGTGTGGTACGCCTCCAAGCCGGCCGTGAACCTCGTGGCCACGAGCAGAAACTTCGGCATCGCCAGCTTGTTGCCACCGCGCGAGCCACCGTTAATGATATTGAACGACGGCACCGGCAGGCACCGCGTCGGGTTGCCGATCAGAGTGAACGAAAGGCTTGCCTGTTTCTTGGCAGTGCATAATGGCGAGTGTACGGTACACCACATTTATAGTCTGCCCGGGTAAAGTGTACGGTACACCACGTTTCTAAATCGTTTTTATATGGCCGGGCTGTACCAATTGAACTTCAAGGGCCATAGTGAAAGCCTATCACTTCTCTTCCCAGCTGCAACTGGTACAGCTCCATATTTTGGGCTGAATCTCATTGGCCGAAAGGGCCACTTAAACGAGTGACCTGTGTACTTTAACAAGTGGCGAGTGTCCCTACCGCTGTATCCCGTAAAAGTGTATTTCTATAGTGCAATCCACAATGGCCGTGACAAACCATGAACTTAAGCCGTGGTAGTACCGTACTTTGCTGAAAAAAGATTCAAAAGTAAATGGCTTCAAAGCGAGATTCAATTGAGAGGTTGAATTTCTGAATCTGCCAATTCACAAATATGAAGGGTCGTCCCATGGAAGTCTTCCGTACGGGCAGAGTATACACGTACCAAGACAACGAAAGAAACAGTATAAAACATTTCCATATTTAGTGGTCCAGATTTCACAAATATGTTTAAAACACCTCCAAGTTGAAGCAGGGCACGTTTAGAAACGAAAAGTGAGCGGTATAATCTCAGCCCTTCAGGCAGAGAGAACTGGGGCGCGCTTCGCGTGCGGGTCTCTAAGCGGACCGAACAATTTTGTGTTTTTTGCTACTAAAACGGTTAGGACGCGCCGCGCCTCAGCGCCAGTCTGCACTTGTTACTGTTATTAACATTATCACCAATATTTTTGTGAGTACTATTGAAACGATTAATATTACTACAAGAAACTTAAATTTTCATACTATTATAATTGATGTTGACCAGGGGTATGAATAAAAAAATTTCAATATGAAAATTGTCAATTAATATGACGAAAATATGTGTTATTGGCAAGCGCCATATTGAAATTTGTATTATTGGCTCGTACGATTTCAGGGTATTCAAAAACACAGTCAAGGCGCATGCAATTGAAATATTTAATCAGTATAATAATTAGCTTTGGTTATCGTCATATTTAAATCATTTTTACTGTCAAGCAATTTTACCAATTCAATATAATACTGAATTGGAGGGGCCCTGATGTTGACAACATCATTGATATTGCTTGTTCGTATCTGCTGCTATCGCTACTGCGACTGTTTATTATATGCTGCCACTACCGCTACCGTTGTTATTTACGCTACAACTACGATCTCCAGCATCGATAATGGCACTGTAATGATATTGCTCCTGCTTTCTTTTTCATGCCTGAGAATGACTGCCAAAATCTACTCCATACTGCTTGGCTTGCTGCATAATATCACGGGGCATTTCACGGCTTGCTCAAACTAAATTTATAAGTAGATGCCATCTGAATATCGCCGTCCACCGTGGTGAAAACGACGCGATCCAAACATTATCGATGATCTTATCGTCCTCTAGACCCTTGTAAATCACTCTCCTCTTTTCCAAATAATGTGTGTGACTTGTATTGCTGCGTAAGTAATATCAATATGACGTATTGTGTCTTGGACAGCCTACGCGCCCAGGTTTCCCAGGTTAGAAAAATACTCAGATTTCTGATTCTGCAGGTATTGTCCAGGTGATGCCCCAGGTTATATCCAGGTATATGAATTATGAGCGTTATCAGATGAAAGTAATTTAAACAAGGATGGTTAAATTACCAGAACAGTTAATGTCCAGGTTAAAAACCTGGAAAACTCATGTGCGTAGTACTTGAGGAAAAGTGAAAATGACGGCCTACAGGCTGTGTCGGATGCATTCTAGCCATTCATTTCTTGTTTCAGTGTCCAGGTAGTTTGCAGGTATGAAAACCTGGAAAACTCATGTGTGCACTACTCGGCAAAAAGTCGAAGTGGCGTCGATTGGTATCGATCGGAACCACACGACATGATAATGGCTTCAAAACAATCATTGTGTACCCATCTACTCGTACAGGTTTCTTACAGGTTGCAAACAAAAGTTGTCCATGTATTATCCATAAGATGCACTTCTCGCTGCTGCTCACTGTCTAGCTACGCTTCATCGTGGTGATCTTGTGCAGCATTGCCCAACGCAGCTTGGTGACGCCACTGGGAGACACATCACTTGGCACTTCGCTGTCAACGCACGTCCACAATAGACGGCACGCAAACACCCCGCAGCTATCGCCATCTGTCTGCTTCGGCTCCGTCACTTCGATGTCGCTGTAAGCTTCATCCTCAAGGGGGCCTGCAAGGAGCTCGCTTGCCATCTTCTTAAGCCGTTTCTTGTTTCTCTTCCCACCCATGCTGTCATACGTCTTCACTAGCCGCGCTTCACGGTTCACTACGATGTATCCCCAATGAACTCCACCAAAATTGACCGGCATAAATACAAAAGCATGCGCCTCAATACCACTAGCAACCTCGTCCAGCGACGTTGGTGCGAGTATGTGCTTCCCCATCTTACCCTTCTTAAGAGGAGGAACCATCACCGTTGTTCTTGTAAGTAGACAGAAACACGGTAAACGCCCGCAAGGCGTTGTCGTTCAGCCAAACGGAGTCTCTGAAGCAGAAAAGGTCTGCGTAGGACAGGTCAAAGCCAAAGCCATGTAGCGGTGTGTATGGCCAGCACTCGAGTACTTTGCCAAGTAACAGCCCAGGGGGGGCGGGGTCCGCTACGATACCTTTCACGTCTTGGCTTAGCCATGTGCAACACAGTACCGCATTCCGGCATGTAGCCTGCCAATTCCACAGCGACTGCATCGCTTCTAACTGCACCCGGGTAAATCTGCCAACTTTCTCAATGGCGACCACGTAACCTTCCGTTTCGCGTGTCACCCCTCCATCACTGTCCAGCTCAATCTCCTCCCCTTTTGCCAAACCACCTCTCAGTTTAGCTAGAGCGTCTTCAACGACGGACTCCGGTAGTCGGAAGCGCACAACCTCGCAAATATATTCCGACATCCACTGGATTGATTTTCCGTCACATTTCTTCTTTGTTTCATGCGTAGCCAAAACCGAGCTGAGCTCGCGGACACCTGGCTTAATCAATTCCAGCGTTGCTGCCACTTCCGTCACGTCCTTATCTCGTAGTAGAGCTCTGAGTTTCATTCCATTGTTGTATTCTTTCAGCGCCAATGCTGCCTTCTCTCTCATCTGAGCACGATTCAACCGTGGTCGACCGACACGCCTCTTGTTTGTCAGTCGAACCTTTGAGCCTTTGCCTGGCTGCACCGATTCCTGGGCGGAGGCTGTCACTTGAGTCGGGGGTTCGTCTTCGTCGTCATCTGGTCCTTTTTCGTGAGCTGCATCCTCTCCACCAGAAGCACTAGGACGATCATTCGTACCCCCCGTTCCTGGGCTACCTCCACCGCCTCCGTGGCTATCACTGCTAATACTGTTGGCCCCGCCACCACTAGCGCCAACCCGATCGGGGCCCGAATCGTCGACGAAGTCTGCATCAGCTTGCACCAGCGGAAACTTCCCTTGACGTAAGTCGTACCACCACTTATCAATCTGCTTCATCGCAGACTCGAACACAGTGTCATCGCACCGGACAAGCTCGCTGCTGATTCGACCAAACGCCTGCTGCGAACGCCGATACTTCTCGGCTTCACTCAAACTGCCAGCGCTCGCAGCTGGATGCCCTTTGTAGAGCTTAGCAACGAACGGATTTTCCACCTCCATCAAGTCCTGTTGCGAGATGCGATTCTGTCCAAACCACCTATTCATGCACATCAATAACAAAACATGGTAAAAACTTGGTCAATACATGGGTAAAACGAGATACCTGGATAACACCTGGTCAATACTCATAGAAAAAATGGACATACCTGGACGAAATGGAAGAGAATGGGATGATGAAGGGGCTTCCACACACTTTTCTGTAGACCATTGCATGTCTGCACGGAAGCTTCGTAGTCTGCGAAAACTCGCAGTCGCACACCCTGCCTTCCTTCTCGAGGAGATACTCGTTCTCCTCGCTTTGTACGGTGATCGTAGCGCCATTGTCCTTGAAAGCGTAGGTATCGACAACCCCGGGGTTCGTAGCAATGTCAAATTGTGTCTTCAGAGCAGCTACTACCCACCTCGTGGTCATGCCCAGAGCGACGTTCAACTCCTCAGGGTACGAGGCGTCTCTCAGGGTACCCGGCATCCCGACCTTGGACCGATAGGCTTCTTCTTTACGGCGCTGATATTCCAGAAGCACCTCCAGACTAGCGCGCATAGTTAGATGGCCTTTCAGCTTTCGCTTCAGCTTACCGAATAGGCTCTCGACACGATTATTCGTGTGATTGCCGAAGTGTGGTAAATCGACACGGTATGCCATCACCCACATCTCTTGGCACGCATTCCAGTTCTTGTCGAAATACTCCCATAGCTCCACACGACCATTCCGCGAGGCCAGACTCTTGAACTCATCCCGATGCCGCACATAGTCTTCCTCAGTTCTGGAGTATGTCATGTTCGTGATGGTGTGCTTCATCTGCGTCAAAACTTCTGCTTCGTAGGCTCCATAGGTCTGCGATTTCTTGATGGTTTCATGAAGCCACTTGATGACATGAAAGTGGCAGATAAGAAGGAAGTGCTGGCTTGGGTGTCGACCAGGAGCTCGATTCCGGGCATGAGCGGAGACTCGGCAGGAACCTGGCGAATACCTGGGTAAGACCTGTAGATGTCGTCGGAAATGGGGTGGTTGTGGCTGTAGACTTCTCGCTTCATGACGATGCCCAACTTTCCATCTCGGCGAAGGACGATTTGTGCAAGCATCTGGAACGGACACTCAGTGCGGCGGAGCTTGTGCGACGTCCTCTTCCCCGTCGATCTCTCACGCTCCTTCCAGCCGTGTGTGCAGATGTACTTCCGCTGATAGGGCTCCCACTCGTCGGGCACGAGAGGAATTTCTGTGTCAGGAAGCCCTCGGAAGCGGACCTGCTTACGCAAGTCTGCGTTGCGGCGAGCCACGTTGATGACCTCCTCGATGACGATCTTCTGTCGTGTCGCATCCATGTACTCCTGTAGGCTGACATCAAGCAGGGGCCACGAGTCATGCTGGGCCTTGAACGCTAGAACGTGCACCAGGTCCTCGTCTTCAACGTTGGAAACGGTGCGCTTCTTCCCTTGGCGCTGCCCGCCCTTGGTAGCTGCTTTCTTCTTTTTCTTCTACTGCGCGTCCTCTTCTTCATCTTCTTCAACCTCTTCATCTCCGTCTTCCTCTTCGTCTGCATCTTCTCCCTCTTCGTCTGCATCTTCGGCGTCTTCTTCCTCTTCATCATCTTCTTCTTCCTCTTCTTCTGCGACATCTTCTTCCTCTTCGGCCGCTTTCTCCTCTTCATCGCCAGTGGATGAGTCGCCTTCTGCAGTCGCATGAGGGCCGAACTGCGTGGCCCGTGAGTCGCGGACATCCTGAAGCGCCTGTGATCGCTGCGATCTGGTGCGCGCGCTGGTCACCTTCCTGCGTGCCTCCTCCTCCTGCCGCGCCCGCTCGGCCATCTGCGCCTTGATATGGGCCGTCTTGGGGGTGCGCGCCATGATGCTGGGGTCTCCAGGGCCGAGCAGCCGCCGCACGTCGAATGCCACGTGGCTGGAGCTGGCCCCTTCGAATTGGTGGCTGTGAGGCAAAAGCTGAAATGACGGTAATAAAAAACGGGATAAATTATCCCTGGACAATACCTGTCGCCAGACCTGTTTTGCAAAACCTGGGCTAGTAGCTTGCCGTTGTGTCTTTCACGTATTTTGGCGGGTGAGCTGTTAATTCAGGCGGAATTAGAGTCATAAAAGGGTGATCAACGCTTATTTAGTGCTAATTATGCCTAAGATTGTGAGCGCTTCCCCTAACATCCGCGATCAGCTAATCGACGGAGATACGAACAGAATGGCATGGATTGGTGGATAGGAAACCGCCAATCGCTCTGTTTCCGCCTATTAATAACGAAGGCTGGATTAGCTTATTCCGCCTTGAGTCGGCCTCACCATCGCCGCTCCTAATTCGGCCACCCGGAATTAACATGGGAATTAGCTAACTCGGGGCATAATTAAGGTCGATAACGGATTAGAGTTATGCCAGAATTATCACGGCAGAATAAGTGAAATGCACAATAATTTTTATTCGGTATATTGCTATTGGAATTGTTCGCTTGCGTCACGATCACTGCCAGCTACCGCTGCAACTGCCCTACTGTCAATGCCACCGCTACTGCAACCGCTATTAGTTACTGACTTTGAAACTGATATTGTTATCGCTATTTCTGTTACTATCTTTTTTTTTGCTCACCCCACGATCAGGAAGAAAACTGTCAAGGTCTACAGTACTCCATGGTGCGTGAGTTGTTGCAACCCAGTATAATGTCATCCAACGAGACTTCTTCGCGAGCCGCACCTAGTAAAATACCTCTATTTTTACGAACTACATCTGCAGTTTACACGCAGTTATAAAGTACGCGGTGCAAATTGGCGCTAATTTCGCTGCGCCATGCGTTCATATTGCTTTACTTAGGTTCTTGCTGCAGCAAACATCACGCCCATCTAATCGAGCACTCTAAAGTGCACCACCATGGACTTGTCCGTCTATATCAATGTAGATACGGGTACTCAATATGATGCGACGTCCAGAAAACACTACGCATACTACTGTGGTGACACTGCATACACTACTGTCGCGCCATGCGCACTCCGTTTTGGATTCCGCATCCTGCATGAGCCCCAACGTCGCACAGTACCACAGTATGCATCGTAATGGTGGGTGTTAATTAAACCGCACATTTTGTTCTCTAAGCGGATAGCTTAGTAGCTTAGAGCCAGCATCATTTTTTGTCAGACCATTAGTTTAATACATTCGGTAATTTTTAATATGAACTAGAGTATCCAAAATCTCATGGTATTACCGGTATAAAGCAGCGAAGCGTCCGGATCGATGCTTTTAACGGGGTTTTGGATTTGGAATAAAACTGAAGCAAAAAAATGCGCGGTTTAATTCACACGCCACCATTACGATGCATACTGTGCGAACTTCGGCGCTGTGCGACGTTGACTGTGCGACGTTGATTAAACCGACAATAGTGTATGTAGTGTTCTGGACGTCGCACCACAGTAGTATACGTAGTGTTTCCGGACGTCGCATCATATTGAGCTGCAGTAGGTACAGAAGAGACATTGATTGATAGACGGACAAGCCACCTTCGTGGCCATGGTGGTGCACTTTAACCCTAAAAGTGCCCGATTAGATGGGCGTAAGGTTTGCTGCAGCAAGAACCTAACTAGAGCAATATGAACGGATAACAAAGTGAAATTAGCGCCTTCAAGCCAATTTGCATCGCGTACTTCATAACTGCGGTGACGTGTAATCTGCTCGTTCGTAAATAGAGATATCTTAACAGGTGCGGTTCGCGAAAAAGTCTCGTTGGATGACATCATACTGAGTTGCAACAACTCACGCACCGGGGCGAGCAGAAAAAAGTTAATAACAGAAATAGCGATAGCAATATCAGTAGCAAAGCTATTATTTAATAGCGGTTGCAGTAGCGGTGGCATTGACAGTAGGGCAGTTGCAGTGGTAGCGGGCAGTGATCTTGACGCAGGCGAACAATTCCAATAGCATTTTACTGAATAAGAAATATTAATACTTCGTATTGATATTACTTACGCAGCAATACAAGTTACATATACTATTTAGAAAAGAGGAGAGTGATATACAAAGTCTAGACGACCGATAAGAAGTTAAGATCATCGATAATGCTTGTGGGGACGGTGATGTTCAGACGGCATCTACTCGTAAATTTAGCTTGCGCAAGCCATGAGATGCCCAGTGATATTATGCAGCAATATATAATAGAAACATGAAGTAGAATTTGGCAGTCTTTCTCCGGCGTGAAGAAGAAAGCAGGGGAAACATCATTGCAAAGTCATTATCAATGCTGATATTGTAGTTGTAGCGTAAATAACAGCGGTAACGGCAGTGGCAGCAGCGATAGCAGGAGATATGAACTAGCAGCATCAATGACAGCATTACTATGATATCATTAACAATAGTGAAATAATAGTTTTAGTAGCTGTAGTTGCAGTAGGGATAAGCAGTAACAGTGACCAGAAGTAGCGCCCGCCACAGTTAGCAATATCAAAAGCAATTTCTTTAACAATAGTGGAATGTCAGTAGTATAGCAATAGAAGTAGTGATGGGGTAGCAGTAGCAGTAGCAGTAGCAGCGGTAGTGGCAGTGACAGTGTCAGTAACTGAAGCAGTGGCAGTAGCAGTGACAGTAGCAGCCGCAGTAGCTGGCGGCGACAGTGGCAGTTGCAATCAATACCAATAGCAACATGATAACGTTGCCAACATCAATTATAACCGTGTTTGAGACCAACCGCCGGAGATGCTCTTAGAGCATCTCTAGTATGAGAATTAAAATATCTAGTGCAGTCATATGAAGCGTTACATGCATAGTACTAATCAAAATAGTGATGATAATGGTAATAACAATAAGGCGCAGCGTGTCCTAGCCGTTATAGTAGCAAAAAACGCAAAACTGTTCGGTGCGTTTGCCTCCGCTTAGAGACCCGCCCCAGTTTTGCTTAAATTTTATTCCAAATCCAAAACCACGTCAAAAGCATCGATCCGGACGCTGCGCTGCTTTATACCGGTAATACCATGAGATTTTGGATACTCTAGTTCATATTAAAATGTACCGAATGTATTAAACTGATGGTCTGACAAGAAATGACGCTGGCTCTAAGGGCTTGGTCGGGGAATGATCGTCTCAGTCTCGCTCGTCTCCGGTAAGCCTACCCCTAAGGTGAACCGAGCCGATGTGGTCGGTTGGCTGGAGACCGTCTTAGTTTTGGTGTGTCAAGCTGCTCGACTCAGCACCATCACACTCGAGAACTCGCAGCCATGGAAGGCACCCTTACTGCTCCACCTGTGGGCGGCGTTGAAGCTGAAGACGCTGCTGAGAGAAGCGTAAGCGGCACGGACACCAACGGGAGCGGCGTCGAGAGGGCACCCCCGCAGGGTGGAGGCCGTGGTGGTCGCGGGGCAGGTCGCGGTGGTCGTGGAGGACGAGGAGCTTCGACCAGGCCAGCTGCATCATGGAGCGACGATGATGTGAGCGAGTTCTTTCGCCTCCGTTACGTAGAGTTAGCTGACAACTTCAAGAACACGAAGGACACCAAGCGCATCAAATATGCGTGGGCCGTCTTAGCATCAACACTCTCTGTTAACCAGAGCAAAGTTTTCACTGACCAGCAGTGTCAACCTGAGATTCTGTCGAAACCACTCGTTGTAGACCGCGTCGTAAAGCATAGCCTCAAGCTCTAGCGGTGTCAGGGTAAGGATGTTCTGCTTCGGGTTCGAAATTGCCCACACAGCGGTGTGGACCGCCGTCGCGAGAGCCCCCGTGGCCGCAGCAACTGCAGCAACAAGGCTTTCGCTGTGCACCATCGAAACGCAGTGAAGACGCTCGTCTCCAAAGTGAGACTGTTGATTTAGTCGTCTCAGATTGGTCAGTCTGGAGACGATGAACCTAGCCGATCGAGCTAATAACTGGCCAATCAAAAATAAGAAAAAATGTCGCCACATCGTGTAAGACGATCGAAAGCCGAGACGAGCGTTCCCCGACCAGGCCCTAAGCTATCCGCTATCATCTCCAGCATCAGGCAGCTTTGACAAAAACGGCAAGAAAACAACCGGATGCAGTTGTGCAAGGACCTGGATGACACAGCCGCGAGATTTCGCGTCGGTTTTGCCTCGAATCGAGTTATTTTGGCGCCCTCGTCTTCCCATCAGACCCGCTTCATCTCATCCCCGACACTAAAGCTCATCAAGCAGAGCCTAGAAGCCAACGGCCCAAGAAACAAGAAACGATGGGAGCGACGGCTATTTTCACGACATGGTGCATGTTGCTTGCTTCCTCATCGCATCCGACTCGGTCTAAATAAAACCCCTTTTGCACATCAACCAGCGCTCGAGCCTGTTGCATCCCAAGAGTGAGTTTCATTCAACAACAAACCTGCCATCGCGTGTCGCCTCATTCTCTCTTTGTCTTCGGTGCGTCCTGCAGCTGGAGGTTGGGCGACGATGGGGACGCGCGCTCGACGACCGGCTTTGAGGCGCAGGCTGGTGGTGCTCACGCTGCTGGCTGCGAGTATTTTAGCCACGACCCAGGCAGCTCAGCAGTCTCTCGAGGTGATCTCCAATCTGCGCGGCTTCAGTAGAGCAGCGTTCGCGCAGCAGCAGCAAAGCTACCCATTCAACAGCGAGAACGCGAGGGCGATCGTGAGCTACCGACGACTTGACACTGCTTCGACTCAGGCCGACGCATCGGCAAAGGCGAACGAGGTCGGCGCGTCGGTCCGCAAGGCCATCAAGCAGCTGCGAGGAGGCACCGACAAGTTCTACCAGGACCTCATCACAGCCGTCAAGATCAAGTTGTGCGAGAACGACCTCGCGACGAACCGCGTCCGCTTCGTGAGCTGCAGCGCCGACAACGCCTACAAGGACGACAACGGCGACGATGTCAAGCTGCCAGTCGGGAAGCTGACGGACGACGAGACCGTTCAAGCCTACAATCAGGGCAAGTGCGAAGTCAAGCCCAACTGCTACTGGGCCGAGATCGTGGACGGAGACACGGCCCGCGCCAAGGTGTACGCGGACCCGGACAGCACCATGGACAGCTCCGCGGCCGACGCCAAGTTCAAGGAGTGGGCCACGGGCGTCCTCGGCTTCGTGATCCCCGGCATCGTGCTGGGCGTGCTGAGTTTACTCACGATGGTTTTCTTCCTGATCTGCCGCTGCTGCTGCAACCGATGCGGCGGCCGCTACCCGCGCGAAGAGGGCTACACGTGCATGCAGAAGTTCCTGCCGCTGCTTTTCTTCCTGCTCTTTGCGATTGGAGTCATCGTGGTCTCGGCTGCTGCATTCCTGTACCGCGGCACGATGCTCGCTGCTGTGGACGACATGTTCAACGCCACGTCGGGGACTTTGGAGAACGGAAGCGACTGGATCGTCACCATTCGCGACCCGCTCCAAGACATCGGCGACACGGTGGCCGGCTCGGCCAACAAGATCAGCAAGCAGCTTGACGGAACGGAGTTCATCGACACGGGTCTGGACGATATCACCGGCCAGCTCGATAGTCTTGGCCAAGATTACTCCACCAGCCCCGAGTTCCCTGATAGCTGTGTACAGCCCAACTGCTTTACGTGCGTTGCATGCGGTGAAATCGGCACGCAGTCGACCAAGGCTTCGAAGCAGATGAAGGATAACGCTGGACCGGGCCTCGACCAGTTGAGCGCGGTCAAGAAGGATCTGAAGGAGAAACTCGTCGACATTTCGGGGACCGTCGAAAGCGCCGTGGACACGCAGGTGTCGACTGCCAACGACCTCATTACCACGGTCGAGAAGACTCAAGGCGACGTGGACGACTACGACAGCAAGTTCCAGAGCTACCGGGACCAGCTCGGGTACGCGATCATGGCGCTGTTCGCCCTCGCTCTGGTAGTCATCGCCATCGGCTTCATCGGCATCCTCTTCGGGCTCACGCCGCTCAAGATCTTGGCCAACCTCATGAATATCGCCTACTTCCTCGGCTTCATCGCGCTCTTCCTCACATTCATCATCAGCGCCATCGTGTTGGCGATTGGCGTCGTGCTGGGCGATGCGTGCGAGATCACGATGATCTTCTCGAGTAACTGGACGGTGCCGCTCGGAGACTCGGCGAAGGCGGTGGACGCCTGCTTCCAGAACGAGTCGCTGCTGGACGTGTTCAACCTGTCGTCCAAGCTCGACTTCGCTCGCGGTGGCATTGAGTTCCCGGACCTCGACATGACCGAGATGTTCGACTTCTCCGATCTGGACACGCTCTCCGACAACGCCAACAGCATTAACGCAGCCTCGATTGGCGTCGATGTGGAAGCGTCCTTGGCAATCGTTAACACCTACGCGGAACAAACGACGACCCACTGTACGCTAAGCGATAAGTACACGGTGGATAACATTAAGCAACCTTGGCTTGACAACAGCGAAACATTCTCCGGCGACCCAGCGACATACATCACAGCACGCTACTCCGGCGACGATGTTGATTGCGCGGGTGAAGATAGTAGTGGAAACACAGACCCGACCTACGGCCAGGCCTTCGAGTGCACGGTGGCCGATGCAAACACGTGCACCTTCTCGGTGTTCATGGGCGAGCAGTTCCAGATGCTGGTGGCGATGGTCGACGCTAAAGCGGACGTCGACACGTACGTAACTACGCTTCAAGGCCGCGTTACTGCAATCCAGACCTCGACCGACACCTTCGAGGAAGATACCAAGGGCTTCAACGACAACATCAACGGCATCAAGGCCGACCTGAACAGCAACCTCATCAAGTACGTGAAAGAGTTCGAGGAGGCCATGTACTGCACCTTCATCGCCGACGGGTTCTGGACCATCTACAACGCCCTGTGCGGAGACCTGATGCCGTCGATCACCATGATCGCGCTCATGCTTTTCCTCTGCGGCATCTTCCTCATCCCCGTCAACATCTGCCTCATCATCGGCGTCAAGCGGCTCAAGGCACACGGCAACGGCCACATCATGGACACCGAAATGAAGTTCAAGTGAAACGTGCCACCAGCCGAAGGGTAGGATGGCCTTTGCTAGATTCTACATATATGAACGCAGTAATTTTATGAAGACTACCTATTTTCTTTATTTTCTCTAGTGAGTGAGTTTGAGTGTCTTGGTGTTAAAGGGTAGTGCTCGGTTTGCAGGGTGAACTGTCGACAAGTTGCTCAACAGTCGTGAAAATGAACTATGACATAATTGCTAGCTACCTTGGGGATTGACTCTGGCGCTAGCTGCAGTAGTATTTTGCGTAGTGTCCTGTTGTAGCACCTGCAGGCAGAGGAAATAGTGATAAACATGCCAACCTCGCTGCTTGCGCGCATGACAATCCAAAATAAAACTGCTGCCCACAATGCGAATGCGATGCCGACGAAGTCGGTCTCCTAATACTCCTTCCTCTCACGCACTTTCGTGCTGAATTGCCCCCGGTGCAAACGTTCTGAGCATCAGGATCACCTCGCACAATGGCACCTTGGACGACGTCGTCACGCGGTCTAAGCTCGTGGCTGGTTGTGTCGATTCTCTTTCTACTCAGTTTTGCTACGGCCCAAGGTTTGACGACCTCGTCTGCGATGAATCCAACACTATTCATTAGTAGGGTCATGGCAAGCACCGAGACCAGACCTGCAGAGACTTACCGAAGGCTGGACACGATGTCAACTGAGGAAGAGAGGGCTTCAGCCAGGGCGAAGGGTGTGGGCGCGTTTTGCAGTAACATCACATGACAGCTCCGAGGAGGGACCGACGAGTTTTATCGCAACCTCATCGTCGCAGTCAAGATCGCTATGTGTGAACACGACTTGGCCAAGAACATGGTGCGGATCGTGAACAGCAGCACCGACGACGCCTACAAGGACGACGATGGTGGTTGTGTCAGACTACAAGTGACAAACCAAACAGACAGCGACGCTGTGGCTGCCTACGACGAGGGGCTCTGCGAGGTGCAGCCGAACTGCTACTGGGCTCCGATTGAAGACGGAGACACGAATCGAGCCAAAGTGTACGCTGATCCAGACAGTTCCATGGATAAAGACACATCGAGCGCCAAACTAAAAGAATGGATCGTTGGTGTCGTGGGTTTCATAGTCCCTGGTGTCGTATTGGGCGTGGTAAGTCTACTCACGATGGCCTTCTTCTTGATCTGCCGCTGCTGCTGCAACCCATGCGCAGGCCGCCACTCTCGGAAACAGGGCTACACCCGCGCTCACAAGTTTGTGTCGTTGCTGCTCTTCCTGTTCTTCTCCATGGCCGTCTTCGTGATAAGCACAGCAGCGTTGCTCTATCGCAACTCGATTCTAGGATCTGTGGACGAGATTTTCCACGCTAGCTCCGGTCTGTTAGAGAACGGCAGCGACTGGGTCGTCAGCATCCGCACCCCACTCGAGAACGTCCGCGACAAGGTCAACAGCTCGGTGGAGCTCGTCATCATGGAGCTCAACGGCTCCGACTTCATCGAGAATGGCGTCTACGGCCTCATCGGGAAGCTCCGCGTGTTCGGAGACTTCGCGGCCAACCGCACGCTGCCCGATGGCTGCTCTGTGGATTCTGACCAGTCCAAGGAGAAGTACATCGGTACGATCGGCAATGTCTGTCTTCCCTGTGGCATCTGTACGTCGATCAGTACGGAGATCGACACAGCCTCGAACCAAATCGAGGCGAAAGCAGACCCCGGCGTCCAGCAGCTCATCACGGTTCGGTCGCAACTGAACAACAAGCTCGTTAACGTGGCGGACTCGGTTCGAGACGCCGTGGACTCAAAGGCTCAGCTAGCGGACCAACTTATCACCACTCTGGACGCCACGCGTGGCAAGGTGGACAGCTACGACGGCACTTTCCAGGCGTACCGAGATGACGTGGGGATTGAAATCATGCGGCTGTTCTGGTTTGCCGGTGGTGTGATAGCGCTGGGGCTTGTGGGGATTCTCTTCGGTCTCACGCCGCTCAAGTCGCTGGTTAACCTCATCCATGTGGCGTACGTCTGTGGGTTTATCGTGCTCGTCCTCATCTTCATCGTCAGCTCCGTTGTGCTCGCGCTTGGGATCGTTCTAGGCGACACGCTCTCATCTTCTCCACCAACTGGACGGTGCCGCTGGGGGACTCCGCTCGCGCTGTGGACGCGTGTTTCCAGAACGAATCGCTGCTGGACGTGTTCAATCTGTCCACTCAGCTGGCGTTCGCTCGGGGAGGCATCAACTTCCCCACAATTAACGTGGACTCGATGCTTGATTTCTCAGCTCTGGACAACTTCTCGACCCAAATGCAGACCACGAAGGAGGACACTTTCGCCTTCAGTGACGCGTACTTCGACGGGCTTAACCCCTATTCCCGGGCCTCTAGGCCCGCGGCCCGCCGCCACTCGAAGGGTGGCCGGTGGGCCGCCGCTTTTTTTATTGGGAACAGTCGTTATTTGTTTTCACATGGGCAAGAAGGCGTCCGCAGCGCGGGACGCCATCGCCCTGAGGAAGTTCCCTCCTGAATTGCAGCTTCCCGAGAAGAAAAAGGACTCACTTTTCTCCTCATGGCATACGCTCGCCTGGGCCCCGGAGTGCCTTCGCACTAGCCGCGTTCCAAAATGCGTTCTTGAGGGGTGTCTGTGTGAGCCAAAAGTGAAGGAGTATTTGCAGCGGTACGTACACGACGTCGATCACAAGACTGTTTTGTAATATGCAAGGTATCGCTGTAACAGGGCCTCATGCAACACGCACATTTTCAACTATCGACGATGAGTATCTAGCATCATCACCAGAACTCTTGCTAGCATTCCCTTACCTTCTAACCTATCAAACGGGTGTACCACGCGAGCTGTTTCACCTTGTTTATGATAGCATGCTAACGACAAGAGGCATATCTGGGGCAAGCAGCAGCGTCACCCGTTGTCGTCAGAGACGCTATTATGCTCTCTTATCTGTGGCAGGTGTCGAGGTGGAGAAGCGAAGGCAAAAAGAAGCAAACTATTCGCCTCCTATGCTAGTGTCATTGGAGCAATACATGGAAGCGAATGCATGTCTTGATGATGAGGCTCTTCAAAAGATATGGCTGACCCAGACTGAAATATGCTCTCGTTTGCTTGAAGCCCACATGACACAGTGCAAAATCAAGCGAGTGATTCGTCTAGAACATTCGCAAAAGTTTTGCAGCAAACTCAAAGTATTTGGTGCTCAAGGTAAGAAAGATCAATCAAGCGAGGTACGTATGCTACTACTTGCCCAAAATGAAATAGGTCAAATTGTTGCTCGTGGCCTGACGTACTCAGAAAATCACGCTGAAACTGCGGCAATTCTAAAACCTGTGGCCGCGCAATTAGCGTCAAAACCACTTGAATCTCGCTTCTGTATAGCCGACCACGCCAACGGCACACGAAGCCTCATTGACAAGGTCTTCAACGGTGCATTGGTAGTCAAACAAGACCCTTTCCACGTCATCCAAAGGTTCACAGAGAAGGTAAAGGATCACGTCATGCGGGGATGGCTAGCGACTGAGCTGTCCTCTGCTATTTACACGGCCAACCACAAAATACGAGAGCCCGAAGAAATGGCTACACTGTTTTCAACCGCTCTGGGCAAGATTCCAGCTTCAAGCCTCAATGTCAAAGAGCCTGAGTGGCAAGGATGCATAGCTAGCAACCTGAACCAGATCCGAGTAGGAGATTTATTTGTTGGCGAGGCTGAATACGTCGAGAATGGCGGCAGGGTACGAGTACTTTCGACTAGTCAGCTCGAAGCAGTTCATTCCAAACTCCACAAGCTCTTAGATCGTATTGTATCGTACGAAACGGGCCTTCGTATACTCGACATCTTCCTCTTGCAGGTAATTGCATGTAGATCATATTCTACTATATGCGTATTTGAAAGTAGGGGCCAAGTTCGGAAGAAATCCTGAATTTTTTTAGTTTGACTTCTTGACGATGTGCCTTGCTGCTGTTTTGGGTCGCGAGCAATTTCCTGCCTCTCCTCAGCTGGAGTTCATGTACGAGCTAATTACGCGCCAAGGTTCCAGTTTGTGTAATCCGTCGTATCGTGCTCGAGCACCTGCGAAGTTATGCGGATTCGTTTGAAAAAGAATACACCTGGAAAATGGAGGATGATCTTCGAGGAATTTCAGCGTATCAAACCTGGGTCGGCACTGTCCATCAATGCTCTCCGCTGTTGCCTTGAAAATCGGTCCAAAAAGCGGATGGTGTCACCAGCAGCTCAGTCCGATGCAGCTGCTCCCAATTACTCCGAAGAACCCTCTCCGCGCAAGAAGATGACAATCCAGACACAGCCAAACGCACCAAAAGACTCCCGCAGCAGTGATCTGCACAGGGGCGACGTCCCTGCGAACACTCAAAACAGTCAGCGTGTAAGAGCTGCTACGAGTTGAGACGAAGATGCGGTCCATCAGGCAACAACAAGTACTGTAAGTACAAAGCTCAGAGTGGGAAATCAATCAGTGCATATTTTACGTCAGCTTAGGAAGGCTCTACATGACCAACAACACAGAACAAATGAATACAACTGATCAATTAGTCCGCTTAGAACTATTAGACTACGGTAGTAAATATCACAGTACCTTAAGTGCAGCGAGCAAACCTCGACGTCAGGGCGTCAGGAGCCGAGCGCGCACGTCTGGAGCTGCTTGGTGTACGTGTTGAAGTCCTCGTCTGAGTCGAGGTACAACACGGGACAGTGCTTGCGATTCAGCATTAGCCGCAGCTAGCGACGGCACTCACAGTCGCCGTCGTTAGGCTGGAGGCACCCTGTAGCGATACTTCCAACCAGGTTTTGCTATCCATCGTTATCTTGGCCATGCGCCTACATCATATAATAGTACAGTAACACACGTCATGATGCCGCAGAATAAAGCGATGCAACAGTGAGCTTCTCACCTTCAGACTTGTTACCCTCGGCCCGCCTTCTTCCTCGTCGCGACAAGCGTCTTCTCCTTAGCTTGCATGCGTACGCACGCGTTCTGTGGCTTAGTAGCGCGCCGCCTCTCGTATTGTGGGGCATGCCGACGAGTCCGCCACTTCAGATATGCGGATAGATGTCATGAACCTCCCCGTGTGGGTTCATTTAGTTAAACTATTAATAGAGGGTGTGTCACTTTAGGACAAGTCGGGACCCACGGGACATTATGAAGGACAGCTGGTATATGGTCGCCGATGCTGGCATTTGGTGACGATTGGTCGCGGGACTCCTGAGAATAGCGGTCAAGCCCTTCGACGAGGTTGTGGTCTTCGTCAACTCGTACGCGTCACAGGACTCGCTGTACTGTGAGCTGGACGACAAGTACACGGCGGAGAACGTGCTTCAGCCCTGGCAAGACAACGGCGAGTCGTCCGTGGAGACTCCAGTGAATTACATCACGCTGCGGTACGAACCCCACAACGACAACTGCTCTGGGATCCCCCCTCCCGACTACGGCCAGCCCTTTGCGTGTACGAGCCACTCCAACCCGTGTCCGTTCTCGGCGTTCATGGGCGAGCAATTCAAGGTCCTCGTCAATTTGGCCGACGTCAACAACAGCGTCGTCGTGTTTGTTAACCAGCTCCAGCAGAACGTCACTGACGTCGTCGACTTCACGCGCGAGTTCATGGCCAATATCACCAGCCTCTTGGGCAGGATAGAGAGGATCAAGGACAACCTCGAGAACAGCCTCATCAAGTACGTGAACGACTTCGAGAAGGTCATGTACTGCACCTTCATCGCCGACGGATTCTTCAGCATCTACGACGCAATTTGCGTACACATGGCCCCGTCGATCACGATGATCGGCCTCATGCTCTTGGCCGTCGGGTTCCTTCTCATCCCAGTCAACGTCACCCTGATTATTGGCGTCAAGAGACTCAAAGCACGCAGATTCGGCCCCGTAATGGCCTCGGACACAAAGTTCTCTGACAAGAAACTCGCTCGCAAGGTAAGCAGCAGTAAGAGCTCCGAACGTCTGTTTTGAATGACAAGGAAAGTGACCGGTGCTGCTGTTTTTTTGTGGGGATTCTAGCGTCTTCTTGCAAAACTTGAGGCGGCCGAGTTGGTGTCTCCGCAGTCGACAACCAAACTAGCAATGAAATAACCAGACACGAACTACTTATTTATTGAACTACAGTTGATCGCCCCGTCGAGGTGAGCGAGCTAGCTCATACCTGAAAAACTGCAAGAATAGTGAGCATGATAGATATTTGTGGTGCAACAACAGAATAACCCACTTGCCGGGCGAACATCCACCACTTCGTACGGCTGAATCAAAAGTTCTCGGTAGAACTCGAACAACTTTGAGCAATTTTTTCACGGTAGGATCTGTCGCGGCTACTTTGTATTGATTTCGTTCAGATTTCCATAAAACGGTCACTTCTATACAACTTATCGCCGACATCAACTCGACAGATTTCAATTCTGTCCCCCCCCGATAGATTTTATTGTACAGATCAGCGGACAGATCGAGGCGAAAACAGGAAACTTGCGATGCTGGCCGGTATTTTGCAAATGATGCACGCGGATGAAGAAGACGACTTTGTCAACGATAAGGTTACTTGAGCAATTTTACGGCTTTTATATGTTCCTATTAAGGTTGCGTTAGCCACTTCGATCATAGGGCACTGAAGTTTTTATCCTCCCTGTGCCGCAACGCTTCCAAAACCCCTTGTGCTGCGCCGTCGCGACTGCGCTCACCAAGTACGCCGACACAAGTACTTGCCCGCTAAAAGCCGCAATGACATTGTTTTCGTGTGCAGAAGCTGACCCTGGTCGATAAGAGAGTGCAGAGCCCTGCTGGTAGGAATCTGCAGACATTGCTAAGATCCTGAGGCATTTTCGCAGGAGATGCGTTGTGGTAAGCAACTGCGCTTCACACATATGTAAGGTTATCATCACCGACCGAGCCAAAGTAACGACTCTGTACAACCACTGGGCTGGAGTCCTCGTCGACCCCGAGACAGATCTACTACGAAGCCCGGTCGGCTGCTCGTCGATGACAGATGGACCCGCACAAATGTCCTTACGGATCGGGGTCGGCCAGTGGATCGTTGCAGTAAATACGACAGGGGCAGAGCTCACGGTGGATCACTACGAAGTCGGCTACCGTGAGATAGGTGAGGTTTACAACCACCGATACGGCCTTACCATTCCGATCCGATGGTGGTACGAGCGACCTCGCGGAAGTGATGTTTGGTATGAGAGGACTTGCCGAGTGGTCGAAGACGAATTTGAAGCGGTATGTGTGCCAATCACACCAACCTATCTGCCGCAAATTTCGTCCGGTAGGCAACGTGTCATCTTCTGGACCTCGACCATCATAAACGGTGTTCGTGGCGTCAACGATGAAGGAATACTCGAGGAAGCGTTAGCTAGGAGTCGCATGCGCTACTTATCCATGATGCACCACGGGCGCACAATCGATATAGAGACAAGCTGTTCTGTCTGTGGTCGCCGCCGTGACGTAGATTGGTGCCGGAGGTGTGGCCGATGGCCAATGTATACGCGGAGCGTGTCAAATTCTCCATCTCGGCGACGTGGCCCTCAGCTACTCCAGGCACGAGGCCGCCCGGTTTCAATGGCGAGTAAGTACCAGCAATATTCAAGTATCCGCAGGAGATGGCAGTGTGCGTGCTGCGAATACCCAGCAAGGTTCCGGTACTTGGGCCATGCAGCAACCCGCCGGCCCTATCGTGACCGGTCAGCTTGCCATTCACAGGAGTGACATTACATCAACTCGCTGTGAAGTCCATGCTTTAATTGCTGGGCTAGTCATAGGCAACGACACCGGAGAACAAGTGTGTGACAACCAAAGTACCATCCGCATATTCGCCAAGGCACGGGATCTGGCCAACGGGGTGCGGCTCAACATCAAGTACAGCGATCCGCACAGAATCGAAATTCGCTCACTGTGCCACCTACCGACGACTCCTTACTGCACCACCAGCGTATCGCCCTTGCGGTAGTAGATGAAGCTGCCGGAAACGCACACACACGACCAATGCCGCTGTCGTACGCAGACTGGATCATGTTTGCTGGATATATGCTCAACGACGAGGAGGGTCGACTTGTATTCGGGAATGCAGCGCAGTATCTTAAGCAGAGAGCCTACACGGACGCGCGTCGCAAATGGATTAATCGGTAACGTCGTCATGATGACAGATGATGAAATTGATATGCTGCAGTCTGGTCATTGGTCACCAGCTTTGTGTCGGTTTTACTGGCGGGCGAAAATGGGCGTCCTTCACACTAATGCGGTAAAACACGGGTTTGATAGCCGGTGGTCCCCGAGATGCATTAACTGCGACCATGGTGTGGCGGACACACAAGGGCATCGTTTTGGCGTTGCGGAACCCCCGTGTTCGGATTCAGCAACGTTAAGTGAAATGCTTCGTACGGAGTACTCCGCTCTTGAACGGAAACTACTGCTCCCAGACCAGGCTGTGCTAGTTAGTCCCGGCCGTTGGCCATCAAATCGCACACTCGCTCCAAGCCCCCTGTAGAGCGTCATGGAAGGATACAGGAGCGAAGGCATCGCGCTGGCGACCTATGGTTCAGATCGCCGATGGGATCTGGGTTAATGCCCAATGGCTCGAGCGGTTTGGTGAGCCGAGTCGTCTGTTACATGACGCTGCCTTTGTGAGAGCGGTCAGAGAAGAGCAATCCGCCCGAAAAGGAGCACTCGGTGGCTGGATCTTGCCTACTCGCCTAGTTGATGTGATCCGCCTGGTAAGCCCCATGCTTGGCTTTCACGCTGCTTATCTCGGTCAGTGGACACCCGGCTGGATATCCGCAAGCTTTAAATCCTCTATACGAATCACCGACTTTGATTATCTACGACAGCTGACTGCCCCGGACCAAGTCCACTGCTGGTTGATTGATGACCTGTATATTCCCCATTCTGCATGGTGGTGGGAACAGTTTACACCGCCTCGGCCAAGCAACACTTACTGGGTCGTATCTTATACAAGCTCAGCAGGCTTTGATCGTTGTACCCGACTTGGGTGTCAGTGGATAGCACGAATTCCTGCTGGGGCACTTCCCAAGCGTACAGACTACTCCGTCATTAGAGAGGTTTCGCAAAGCAACTTGTGGGAGTTAGCGACAATACATTCCCTACCCCTCTATAGAGACGTGTGTCTACAAGTTGTTCTCGACTCGTCTAGAACGTCTAGAACGCCCTGTACACGTTGGTACTTGAGGAGATACGGGTAAGCATTTTACAATCTCCCAGCAATCTTTACTATGGAGAAGCCAAGCCAAACGCACAACAACCCCGTGGAGGAGGCCCCACCGACGAAGCGTCGTGAAACGATTGTCCGCTTTACGGATGAGCTTGACTTCCAACTGATCCAGGAAGCTCAAGCGAGAAATCCGTATGGGGAAGACTACGGGAAGAAGACCCAGGCTTGGGCTGATGTAGCTGCAGCTTTGGAAGTGGACGTCGACGGTCGCCGTTGCCGCGAGCGCTGCGACCAGCTCGTAGATGCGTATGAGGCAAAGCAGATGGCGAGTGAGAAACGAAGCGGGCCGTGTGAAGAGTACACGCCGAAGGACGAATGTGTGGCGGAGCTGCTGGAGATGCGCGAGATAGAGGCGCTGCTGAAGAACGACAAGAAGCAGCAGAAGGACCAGCAGCAGCAGGAGGACGAGCAAGCTAGCGCTATGCGCGACGCAGCCTTAGAAGGGATGAGCCGAGGAGGAGGAAAAGGTGGATCGCAGCAGCAGCAACTGGTTGCTTATCTCGAACGCCGCGACCAAGTCGCTCAAGCACTGGAAGGGAGGAAGGTCGCCAACGAGGAGAAGCGGCTTGCGTTGGAGGAGCGACGCCTGGAACTGCAAGAGCTGCGAATGGAACTTGAGCGAGACGAGCGACTTGCGTTTATTGAAATGTTAAAGGCTGTCGTCAGCAAGACTAGTTCGTAGTAGCTAGACTAAGATACTCCTCGAGGCTTGGCGGCTTAATGGAAAAGCATTTGCTGATCTGGTTGGGGTTGGAACAGTTGCGGAAGTTGGTCAGGAGTACACCGACCAAGTCGTGTTTCCCCACAGGTGATAGATATAGTCTTTGACTCAGTCTCAGATCAAGAAACGGCCATAAGCGAATGATCCCTCCGAACCCCCACTCCACTGCCACGCGAACTTTACTCATAGCCGCATTGAATGCCTTTTGCGTATCACTCAGATTGGAGCCCTTGAAACCGACGTGCAGCGTTGGTTTGAGTGGGTAGGCAGGATCCCCATAGATGCAATACGGAAGTTCCCCGTCGTGATGTAAGACACGCGGAAGGCGCTCCAGCAGTCCACTCTGCCTTAAAACCAAGAGTCGTGCCGACGTCCAACCGTAGGATCGTAAAAGTCGATGAATAGTCCGTCCGGTGCCATTACTCCTTGATATTTTAGCGCGTGTTTCCTCTTGTGTCCGTTGTAACCTTGTTTTTGGTTGCGCGTTGGGCGTGCAATAGCACGCACAGTGCCATCGATAAAACCAATGCATCTCGGCTCCGGTGCTCCACGTTGTGCCACAGCAGCAGCGTACTCCTCCAATTGCGACGATGTAAGTAGCCCACATTCAATGGTGAGTAGGCATTTGTACTTGTCGTACACCAACCCCAGCATGAAGTTAAATATCATGCAGACAATAGGGGCGGACCGCCCGAAAAAGCGGCTTAAGTCTCCATAACGTCCCGGGTATGCCATGCGACGCAAGAGAATGCAGAGGCCCTCGAAACCGGAGAAGACAGCTCGATTTGGGAGTTTATAGCTGCTGTCTAGGCGGAGCGCTTCAAAGAGTCGAAATAGGTCTCGCTTCCAGAAGCGAAAGTAGAACCGTGTTTCGCAGTCGTTGAGCGCGTTGATGTTAAAGCGTTCGCCGTAGGAAATGGACCGGGGGACGTTGCTTGTGGACGACGTTCGAGCAGAGAGGAGACAAACCGCTTCTTCCTCTGAGAGCATGCCGAGCACGAGAAGGTCTTGTACGTAAGTAGAGTTCATCTTTGAAAATGCTACAGACGTACAAGTCTAAGTTGCGAAAGCTCGTTCTAGAACTTGGCCGAATAAATCTATGGCCGCTCTCTGTCAAATCTTTCGAACGGTTCTAACTTCCACAAGTTTAACTTGCGAAACTTCTCTATTCAACCTAATGACCAGCAGCCATTCCGGGCCATCATCACCAAGAATCCCCATGCCATTGCTATAGGAGTACTGGCACCAACGCGATCGGCTACCCAAGCTATCACTGATGCTCGTCGGATATGGGAGACGGCCGTGTACCAGCTCGGGGTACCTGAGTGGATCACTCACTCCCTTCACGACGTTGCCTGCCATGGACCTACAGAGTGGCGGTACCCGCTCTTTGAATGGTTCACCCCTCCGACGGACACAGCGGCATACCCAGTATGGTGGAATCGCATACGCCACCAACTCGATCGACTAAAATTGACGGTCTATACAGCCCCCTCGGGCTGGAGGTGCTATCCGACTATGACGAACGGAAGTACCGTGTGGGCAGAAGCAGTATCATACACCACTAAAGGCGCTCGACTTCTCCACGCCCAGCTATTTGCTGGTACCTGGCGGACTCTTCACAGCTATTGGAAAACATCATGCAAGAGGTGCAATCGGGCTGTCCGCCAACGCAGGCGCAAGGCTCTGCGCAAGGAGGTCAACCATGGAATTGCTTCGCGGCGCCGGACATGGGCACAGAAGACGAAGGAACGAGTGACACGATCGATGTTGCAGCGGAATGCAAAACTTCAGTCTCTGAGCCAGCAGTGGCTCCGGCGGCGCAAAAATTGCCTCGAAGACCGACATCACGAGCAAGCAACATGAAACCAACGGACAAATACTTCAAGGTAGAGCTCGCGGATATGACCATGCCTCCGAGACACGATCAACCGACCGCAACGTCACCCATGCTGCCGGTCATTACATTTTTCTTTTCATATTGAGAGCCCAGCGCCGATCTGCCGACCTCGGTTGGTGGCCTACGTAGGGCCGTGTATTTTGGTAGCTACAGCGGGGCCTACGCTTCGTCGTGGTCTCCGTAGGCGAGGATGCAGCGCAGCGCGCCTCGGGCGTAGTCGCCATAACCGCAACAAATACAAATATGTAAGGTTATCATATATATGGATACAGGATATCCAGGAACCTCTCGACGGGTCGGTCCTTACATTTGACTGTACTAAATTCCAGAGCTTTTTCGCGACTTTGTCTGTACATCGTCTTCGGACTGAATACGCCCAATCTTTCCGAGAAGCTGCATCGACTTGTGGAGGTGTTTGAAATCCTGGACGTGTCTGGTATGATTTGCATCCTCCAGCTTTTTTCGAATGTACAGTACGAACGTGGTCGCACAACGTGTTGTCTTTCGGTGAGACCACAGGATGCCCTTTGTCTGTTCGAGCGGGCGCTTCTCTCTGGTGTTCGGGAATCCGGCGGATTACGAATGGACACGGTTTCTTCGTCCACGATGGTGTGCAAAGTGCAGAACACACGCGAGGCCTTCCAGTGCGTACGCTGGAGTAACACCCTACTGTAGCGCGCTCGTATAGCTCGCCACGGTGGCCCTGCAACCTCATTCCCAAATCTGCTCGCTTGCGAGAAGATTACCTTACAGCTTCCGTTCGTGGTCGACTCTGCGCTAAAGCTCTACCTTCTTCGGACAAGATGGTCTACTCGCCCAGCACCTACCTCGTTTCCGCCGCCGTGGCCGTCGTGGCGCTGCAGATGCAGCACACGGCTGCTACCTCGCTCTTCTACGACCCTTTCACGTCGACCGACACCGTCGGCACGATCAGTGGCAAGTTCCCGGCTCGCGGCGCTGATGTGGCCGACCAGGACTGCGCCATCACGGTGCAGGTGGACCCGATGCTGCCGGACATCGCCACCATCTTGCCCGAGCCTTCGGAGTACCCGGACCTGCTGGCCAACCTGACCACGGGCCCGGCCGAGCCTGTGTCGACGAAGGTGGGCACGGTTGTGCTGTCCAAGCCCGTCCCCGCCACCATTGCTGGGCTGGAGGGCTACCTCGGCAAGGCCACGCCTAAGAGCAAGGCGGGCGACGCCCCGCTTCCTGGCATGACCACACCTGCTACCAAGACGGGCACTTCCACGGTCACGGCTGCTCCGTCCACGAGCACCAATGATCCTCTTGTCAAGATCGGTGTCGTCACGCCGGCTCCCCAGTCGGGCTTGGTGCAGGCCCTGCAGGGTGAGGCAGGCATCAAGACCGGATGGGAGGAGAGCAAGCCCATCGCCCCGAAGCTGCGTGAGGCCGCTGTGCCTGGCCGCGCCCTCGAGGAGAAGCTGGAGACTAAGCGTCGTCTTGAGGACAACGCCAACAAGGACATCGCCAAGCTTGAGGCCTACTTCGGCACCAAGATGGAGATGAAGCTGAAGAACCTGCCCACTGAGGGCGTGCACACGCCTTCGCCCTGGCCTGGCCCGTACTGGCCCACGTACCAGGACGGCATCAACGTTGTCTGGGATGAGGGCCAGCCGAGCCCGGCCGAGAAGTACGCCACGGCCTTCGGCAAGGACGTGTCGGACTTCATGGACAAGGTCTCCAAGGACAACGGTATCGACTCGATGAGCAAGCGCAAACAGTGCACGTCGGACAACGACTGCGCTTCTCTGACCGACGGCAGCGCCTGTGGAATTCGCGCCGGGGCGTCCTCGGGCTACTGCATCCCTTCGTGGTTCGGCATTTGCCACGCTTGGGCGCCGGCCTCCATTATGGAGGCTGAGCCCAACTGCCCTGTGACGCACAACGGTGTGACGTTCCACCCCATGGACCTGAAGGCTCTAATCTCGGACATCTACGACGGAGCCAGCGTAGGCACCGTGTTCACTGGTTCGCGCTTCAACGGTGGTGCAGATACCCCTGACGAGTACGGCCGCCACTCGAGCGCCGCCTACCGCGACCTGAACCCCGCCTTCTTCCACATCGCCGCGGCCAACATGCTCGGCAAGCTGAACGCCACGTTCGTTGCCGACGTGACGGCCGGCACCGAGGTCTGGAACCAGCCCGTGCGTGGTTTCAAGGTGTACGAGCAGACGAAGATGTCGCCGAAGAAGGCCGCACAGACCTTCTACGGTCTCAAGAAGTACCCGTGGAACGCCGCTGCCCAGAGCATCGTGTACGTCAAGACGCGCCTTTCGTGGATTTTCGAGACGTACACTGATGGTGGCCTTGTGGCTTCTGGCCAGGTCGACCAGTTCACGACTGGTGCTTACTACACCTACCTCCTTGAGATGGACAAGCAGGGAAACATCATCGGTGGCGAGTGGGTCTACGACTCGGACGAAAACCACCCGGACTTCCTTTGGTTCCCCAAGGCCCAACCCGCTGCGGGCACTGTGACCAGCGTTGGACTGAGCTACGCCGACGTGAGCATGCTCTTGAAGAAGTCGGCTGCGTGCAGCGCCTAATCGGGCTGTGAGTTCAACAAGTCGTGTTGATTAAACTAGCTGCAGAGTTACCACGACTTGTCAAAAAATAAAAATAAAAACAGTTTGTTTGTGAATAAATAGAAGTGAAGTGAGCTTTTTTATGATTGCTTCCATTCCGGCAATGCCATTGCCGTATCAACATTGCCAATCTATGGAGGAGAACACAACAACGACGTCATACGTGTACACGTCCATCAAGGGTTGTGTAAGGTGGGACCAAATTGCAGGAATCACGCCAAACGCGTTGTGAAGGAGCCCATTGTCGGGCGGCGAGACTTCCCTTGCGTGGAGTCCCAAGTACGCGAGTCAGTCGCATTTCAGGTTACGCACCATCAATTCTAGGAGCTGAAATCTTGCGCACGAGGCGTTAGACTTCATATTGGTTTCAAGCCCCACCTTGTAACATCCAAATGCCGTGGAGCGCACGCGTGCCGGAACGGCCAGTCTGATAACGAAGGTGCCTTGCACGAAGTGCGGCATTATCTGATTATCAAATAGCTGGCGTTGTACATGCTGCTAGGCACCAGCCAAACTCCATGACCACATTTCATTTCGACATCCAGCGAGCAGCCCAAAGCCAATTGCAAGATGCACCTCGCTTACAACTTCTCCGTGGCCGTGCTCGCAGTTCTGTCTGTATGGACAACTTTTGCTGCTGCTGCCGACGCCGGATCAACAAGCAACGACACTCGACTCGAAGTATCAGTTGGCCCCACCCACGTGCAAATGGGAATCCGCAGTGGCTTAATCAAAAGTCGGGGTGTGAACCTCGGTGGCTGGCTGGTGGCAGAGCACTGGATGACAACGAGCGCAGCGTTCTGGGGAGGAATCGACGACCGCGTGGCCAACACGGGCGAGTACAGTACCATCACGAAAGCGGCCAGTCCCGACGACGTCCGCGCCAAGCTTGGCAATCACCACGCGACTTTCATCTCGGAAGTCGACATCCAACAGATCGCGGCGGCGGGACTCAACACGGTGCGCGTGCCCGTCGGCTTCTGGATCTTGGGCTATGACAACCACGACCCGGCCAACCAGCGCGAGTGGCAGGCGTACACGCGCGGAACGATCGCGTACTTGGACCAACTCATCAGAGGTTGGGCCAAGAAGTACAACGTCGCAGTGCTCGTCAGTCTGCACGCCGCGAAGGGCTCGCAGAACGGCGCGGATCACTCATCGCCTGCCAGCCCCGGTCAGTCGCTCTGGAGTCAATACCCTGAGAACGTGGCCAACACCGTCGAGGTCGCGCGCTTCCTGGCCGAGCGGTATCTCCACGACGAGGCCTTCCTCGGCCTCGGCCTGCTCAACGAGCCCAGCGGCAGCACGGACCAGACGCTGCTGTACCAGTACTACCAGGACGCCTACCGAGCGGTGCGGGCAACGGGCAGCGACTGCGTGCTGAGCGTCATGCCGCTGTTGCAGAAGCAGAGCCCCGACGAGATGGTGGGCTTCATGGAGGCGCCGGCCTTCACGAACGTCTGGGTCGAGTGGCACCCGTACTTCATCTGGGGCTACGAGCACACGCCCGACGACCAGTTGGTGAGCGTGGCCGTCAAGCAGGAGTACAAGGCGCGCGTGGACAAGTGGAATGCGCGCGCGGGCCACAACCGCCTGTTCATCGGCGAGTGGAGCGTGGCCACGGCCTCCAACATGCGCAAGAACAACCCGGACGCCTTCTACACGTTCGCTACGGAGCAGCTCAAGGTGCACGAGGAGGCGGAGGGCGGCTGGACGCTCTGGACCTGGAAGGCGGCGGGCGGAGGGACGGAGGACTGGGCGCTGCAGAACCTGCTGGCCGACGGCCGACTCAACGAGATTCTGCGCAGCAACCCGTGAGACCTCGCGGACTAATGGAATCTATCATCGAATACTGTAAACCTGTACTGGGTAGGAGGTAGAAAGCTCAACTGCGCTCCGAGCCTGTAGGTCTACCCAGAAAACGCAAGATTTTGATACCTTCCCATGTTGAAGTGAGTACCGTACAAAACTTCAGAAAAGCCGGCTCGTCCGTAAGTCGCTGCATTCGAAGCACCAAAAACTTCAGAAATCGCGGCTAAGATGCAATGCCACGCTGGACGAGCTCACGAGTCCTCCCACGTTTTCTCTTTCCGATTCACGAGTGTAGTGATGGTTTTGAATTGGACGAGTAAAGAACGTCCAAAACGTCTAAAACGTTCTAAACACTTTAGAAGTGTCCAAAATGTCCAAAAGTGTCTAAAAGTCAGTACCTCGAACTTGATGTGCGATCTTCCCTCTTCCCTCCCTCTGTAAATCTCCCTCACTGCAAGACATTCCCCTCCATGAACACCATGCCACCCGACGGCGCTCCTGAAACTGCATCTTTGCCTGCGAACCTGCCGAACGCCTCCCCAGCGCCTATTTCCAGTCGGCAAGCGACACCAGCATCAAGTGACAACTTTACACCACCGCAAGTAACCGCGCGTAGTGCGCAGGGGATCCGTTCCGGCTCTGCGTTGCGACGTCCTCCTCGCTACAGCCCCTACCATGGCGGAACTTCTACCTCCAGCCCGTCTCTAAGGCACATGCGATCGCCTACGCCAACAAAACGCGTTAACTTCTCGCCATCACCTTCGTTGCGACGAACGGGAGCTTCGCCAACCCGAATGGGGCGCCCTCGAGATGAAATCTGGCAGCATTACGACATTGAGAGAGAGAGCGGGAAAAAACACGGTCGTTGCAAGTATTGCGGTACTTTGAAGAAAAATGGCAAGCCCAGCGGCAACCTGCTAAAGCATCTAACGCAGCCCAAGCAGTGCCCTTGTGTCCCCCGTGATGTACAAATTTCTATGCGTCCCGCACCTCCCGAGCCTGCTCAAGCCCCTGCTCAAGCCACTGCTCAGGCTCAAGAACGCGACCAGACAGTCCGATCTACTCAAAGCGGGTTGACGCAAGACGCCTTCGAATTGGCGCTGGCGAAAGTCTTTTTTGTTTGCGCACTTCCTTTTATTCTCCTGGAGGCCCCAATATTTCGTGAATTTCTCGCTATGTTGGCAAATACCATCGCGCCATAAAGTGAGCGGAGTGTTGCTGAAACGGGTGCGAGATCAGCTTCGCCGGAGCCATGTCATCGAGCTGATCAATAAACAAGTCTACGTCTCGCTCGTCACCGACGGATGGAGTGACACCAACAGCTCGAGTATAATCAATTTTATGGTGGTTGCACCCGGGATGCCGTCCGTCTTTTGGTCGTCATGGTCTACCAGATCCGAGCAGCACACGGCAAGATATATCGCTGGCGAAATTGACAAAGTTATCGAGGAAATTGAACGTGATACTACAGCCGAAGTCGTTGGTATTGTAACAGACAACGCGCATGAGGGGCGCGTCGGCTCGAGTACAGGGCAGACGCCCAAATGTGGTGAGCGGTGGCTGTTCGGCCCACGTACTGAATTTATTGGTGCAAGACGTGTGCCAATTTCCTGCCATTAAAGCGATCCTGTCGAGAGCTGTCACCCTGACACGCTTTATTCGAGACCACCTTGCCTTACTTGACGAGTTCAAGCAGTTGAAGAAAGAAACGCGCGAATCGGGGATTAAAACGCGCAATCTCGTGCTACCAATGCCGACGCGATGGTACTCAGTGCATGCCTGTATGCGGAGTGTGCTGAACAGCCAGGACATATTCGAGAAATTGTTTTTGAGTCCTGAGTACGATCGATTTCTTGATCGCTATCGTGGAACCGCGGCAAGTCGGAGGAAGCTTCGCTATATCACGGAGCTCATCCGCGATAACGGGTTTTGGAGTAGCTTGAGGACAGTAGTACGCCTTCTCGATCCCATCATTACGGCGCTCCGGGCATTAGAAACAGACAATATGTTTGTGTCGGGTGTGTATTGGTGGTTCCGGTGGCTTCGTTATCATTCGGCTTACGGTGTCACGTCACCCGACGAATAACAGCAGGATGATGCGGCGGGTCCACCGACGGAGCCGCAGAATCGCGTGGTGGAGCGGCAGAACAACAGAGAAGCGCATGGACCTGCGCGAGATGGAATCGAACTTCTGAGCGACACAGTAGAGCGCATAACCTCCACCAGCAGCGCTGACAATGAGCTTCAAAGTGTATTGGCAGAGGATGAAAGCATCCTTACTGGAGATGACTACAAGAAGGTTGCAACTTTATCGCTCGTCGAGTTGCAAGGCTGCTTTCGTGAAAAGATCAAGAAGCGCTGGACGTACGTGCACACCAACGCAATGGGCATTGCATTCATGCTCGATCCTGCTACGGATCTTGACGACTTTGTTGGCATGGACAGCGAGAAGGTAGATGACCAAGCCTGCCTAATGGCGGTACGTTGCGGCATCATAACGGCAGTGGATATACCTAAGCTGACCGCGGAGATTCTTGAGTTCAAGACTGAAAAACGGCGTGGTGGTGAAGCTGAGCGGGTAAAGTTTTCTGAGTCAAGTCCGCAGTACTACTGGGGCTCGAAGAGTGAGAAGAAGTCTTTCCGGTACCCGCTCCTCAAGAAGGTAGCTGATATTGTATTTGCGATTCCTACTTCATCGGCTGCGAGCGAGAGAGCATGGAGCATATTTGATCACATTCACTCCAAAAGGAGGAATAGACTCTCCGTAGAAAAGGTCGAGATGCTTGCATTCATCTACATCAATTATGGCATCATTGAGAGCGAAGAGCTCGATCTTGCGCGTCATCAATCGCGCCCAGAGAGTGTAGAAGTCGACAACTAATCTTTAATACATTGTGTGTTTGGTTTTACTTTAGGTCTTCATATACCTTCTCTTCAACATAGAACTCTTGGTGGTATTGATCTGGGCCTGCACGTAGCTGCTGGCGTACTACGCGCTGTTCTGCTGCGGCTTTCGGTTGTCTTTGACGAAGCGACGCGCTTGCTTCTGGATAAGCTCGGCTGAAGCCACCGCACAGGTCTGGATGTCCGCCTCAATATCTGTGCCTTGTCCGCCCGCAACCTGCGCTTCTCGAAGTAATGGCCATTGAGATACTTCGTCTGATGCTCGCCCAGCTCCACGTTGACGGCCAGGTGTTTGAGGTACGTCGACGGCTTGATCGCGGACTCGTCACTCGCGACCCGCTTGGTCTCTCCCTCGAGGATCGTCACAGTGCACCTCGGGCGCTTGGACGTCGTGTCGCCGACCACCTCGACAACCACAGCGCCGTCACCCACGATGAACATGCAGTGTAGCCAGCGTTTCTAATGTCGCGCTGTGCGCCCGCGGGGTAATAGTACTACTTGCTCTTCATGAGCACGAGCACGTCAGTGCCATCCTTGGCCGTGAGGACGGCCGTCAACGCCTAAGCCACGCTTGAGTATGCCGCGCAGCTTGATGTTCCCCACGACGGTGCGGTGGGTCTCCTCCTTCTGGCGCTCGGCAAGCTGCTTCACTGAGAGAGCCTCTCCGCGTCGTTGTCGCTGGCGCGGTCGCCCTGCAGCCGGTCGTCCGTTCTTCCTCGACGTCGGCCACCTTCGCGTGCTGGTGTCCAGCTCGTCTTTAGGGCGCTTACGGTGGCTCGGCTTGGCCTTCCGGTACAGGTCTAACGCACGGGCGTCTCTGTCGGTGTTGGGGCTCGTGCTCAGCAGCTAACGGAGCTGTAATTGGCATGGGCTCGTCCGCAGAGGGAATCTGCAGCGGCGTCTCGTTCGAATTGGGCACCAGCGGTGGCTTCCTTGGGCAGTTGTGCCTCTGGTTGAGAATCAATCCCGAGTTTTCTTTCTGACAGTTTTGGATACATTTGGATTTTGGACGGAATTTTGGACGTTTTCCAAAGTATTCTGAACTATTCTGAAGTCGTCCAAAACCATCACTAGCAACAATAGCACTCTAAAAAAAGAGTACATGCACTTCAACTTGCCCATATAAAATGGATACAGATACCCTTTTGCGATTACCTAAACACTCGAATCAAGTCAAACCCATTTCTTGAAAATGACCCATTTTGGGCGCCACTTTTCAACCAGCGAGATTCAATGGCGACCCCAGCACCTGCCGACTCGGACGCCAGCGCCGCGACGCCGCCGCCCGCGGCCGCGGACCCGAGCCTGCCGACCATCTACCCGAAGCCCGTGACCGTGCTAGTGATCGGCATGGCCGGCAGCGGCAAGACGACGCTCATGCAGCGGCTGGCGGCCTACGGCGTGGACGCGGGGCTGCGCAACTACGTGATCAACCTGGACCCGGCGGTGCGCAAGACGGGCTACACGGCCAACGTGGACATCCGCGACACGGTGGACTACAAGCAGGTCATGAAGGAGTACGGCCTGGGCCCCAACGGCGCCATCATGACGTCGCTCAACCTGTTCGCCACGCGCTTCGACCAGGTCGTCGACCTGCTGGGCAAGCGCAGCAACGACCTCGAGTACGTTGGCCGGATGATTGAGGGGGTGGGTGGGTGATTGGGTGATTAATATGAGTGTTGCATTGCAGCTACGCCATTGTGGACACGCCCGGCCAGATCGAGGCGTTCACGTGGTCGGCGTCGGGCCAGATCATCACCGAGTCGCTGGCGTCCACGTTCCCGTCCGTGATCGTGTACGTGGTGGACACGCCGCGCACGGCCAGCCCCAACACGTTTATGTCCAACATGCTGTACGCCTGCAGCATCCTGTACAAGTTGAAGCTGCCGTTCGTGGTCGTGTTCAACAAGATCGACGTGCTGCGCCACGACTTCGCCACCGAGTGGATGACGGACTTCGAGGCCTTCCAGACGGCGCTGGACGATGCGCAGGACGACAGCTACATGGGCAGCCTCTCGCGCTCGCTGAGCCTCGTGCTCGAGGAGTTCTACAACAACCTCACGTCCGTCGGCGTGTCGGCCGCCACGGGCGAGGGCATGCCCGAGTTCTTCGCCGCCATCGACAAGGCCGCCAAGCAGTACGAGGACGAGTACCTGCCGGACCTGCTGGCGCGCATCAAGCAGCAGAAGCAGAAGACGCACGACCAGCAGGAGGCCACGCTCGCCAGTGTCATGCAGGACATGGAGATCTCGGCCCACCGCGACGTGGACCTGCCCGTCAGCGACACCGCCGCCGTGCCCAACGCGGCTGGCGAGCGCACCGACCTGTAATTTTCATCAATGCACCATGACTTCCACGAAGTCAAACGCCACCAACAATTTATAATCTCTAAACGGCTAGATCTGCAATTTCTTCTCCCTCCGTTGACTACCCGGTCTGCAGAAGCGCCAAATCAACGTAACGTACACCATTTCGAACGTCTTCTTCCAGTTTCAGTCGAGCCCCCCAAAGAGTGCGCAATGGAGTCGCGGGCGGCGCGGGGCTTGGCGCCGGCCTCCGCGGCCTTCTACGCGCGCCTGATCCCGCAGACGAGCGACGAGGAGCAAGTGGCGGCGGCGCTGGCCGCGCTGGAGACGCCGGGCGAGGGCATGTCGCCCACTAAACGATCGCGCAACCACGCCGTGTCGGCCGCGCGCACGCTGCGCAACGCGGTGCTCAAGGAGGCGCGCTTCTACCGCGTGCTGGAGGAGGCCAAGCTGTACTCCATCGACTTCGGCGGGCTGCAGGCGGGCGACGGCGACCAAGACGGCGGCGGCGACGACCAGGACGCGGAGATCGACGACATGCGGCGGCGGGCCACGTCCCTCGCCGAGAGCGACTACAAGGTCGTGCGCATCCAGGAGCTGGCCAAGCCCAGCAGCGGCCGCACGTCTTCGGCCAGGAGCCGCCAGCAGATGATGCAACAAGAACGCAATGGTGCGTGCGCGGTCGAGGAGAGATATGCTGATGTGCTTATTGACGACCTTTTGTGTTGGTTTCGTTGCTGCAGCGTACAGTGTCATGAAAATGCCGGAGGAGGTGGTGGCCAGCAGCGGGCGTCTGCAGTGTCTCTTCGGGGCGTCGAACGCGCCCACGTGGTTCATCCGCCTGGCGCACGTCGAGAACGCGTTCATGACGCTGTCCACCAAGGAGCCGAGCAAGACGGCGGAGGCGGGCGCGGCCACGGAGAAGCACTTCCTGGAGCTGCTGCCGGAGAACGAGAAGGCCATCGTGGCCAAGGGCCGCTTCTACTACCGCGTGCTGGTGCCGATCGAGCTGCGGAAAGCGCCCGATCTTTTGGCGCCCGTGATCTCGAGGCACGTGTTCAAGAACGCAGAGGAGATCATCGAGTGCCACGAGACCTACCGCTGCCCGCAGAGCGGCGTGACGTTCGTCAAGCTGGCGTACGAGGACGGCTGGTTGTTTGAGACGCTGAACTCGGGGATTAAGGTGCTGGAGAGGCTCGCCACGGAGCCGGACATTGAGTACGGTCACTTCTTTTACGTGGTGAAGATTCCAGTGGGCATTCGCGTGGCGCCGCACATTATGGCGCAGCGCTCGGGCAAAGGATTCAAGCTGCACTCGATTGTCGAAGCGTCCCAGCGATTTACCCCACCAGGCAGCAAGATCACGTATGTCCGAGTGTGCAAGGATAAAAATTCACGTTGTGGATGCTCGCAGAGTCACGCAGGAAGCGCGTCAAGTCCGAAGTCTATGGCCCGGAAGTATAGCGCTGGAGGAGGAGGGGGTGATAGCGACGGTGAGTCACCAAACGAGGATAAAAAGTTTTCGTCGCTGTCACTACCGCCATCGTGTCACGGAGGTTGGATTTTCGAGAAAACCATGGACGGACAGGTAGTGCTGGAGCCGATGGCTGAGCCCAAGGTGCGACAGGTGGAGCGACTCTTTTATCGTGTGTTGGAGGACGCTGATGTGCTGCCCACGCCAGCAGGCGGGAAGAGGCTCGCAATTTCGAGCTCGTCGGCCCCCTCCAGTCCGCCTGGTAGACGGAAGCGTCTAAAAGACACGCTGATTGAGTGCAGTGAACGGCTTGTGCCTGCAGTGCCTCCCGTTTTGGCAGACGCTGGTGAAATGGATGTGCCTCAAATTGGCTTCGTCAAACTTCGACACGATGTGGGTTGGATATGTGAGCGACAACTGCACTCGCCGTACAAGTTGTTGCTCGAGCAGGTGCAGGGCTACGCTGTGACCCGCGACTTACCCAAATTCTATCGTGTGCTGGTTCCGGTGTATTTGCGCTCAGCTCCTGACTTCGAGTGTCCAAGATTGCCCGGCGTGGCTCCTATGACGGCCGGTACTGTGTTTGAAAGTAGTCTCCAGTATACACCACCAGGCAGCCGCATCACGTACATTAAGGTGGCCAGCGCTTCACATCCGTCAACAAATAGTGCCTGCAATGGGTGGCTATTCGATCAAACACCGAGTGGAGACCAAGTGCTGGAGGCTGTGGACGAAGACCCAGAGAAGAAGAATGGCAAGTTCTTCTTCCGGGTTATTAGCGAGAAGAAGGAGGTGCTTCTCTCACCCGAGCGGACGAGCGAGGTTGTGCGCTACCTGTTCGCGAACACAATTTTCTCGGCCGAAATGGAGTACACATTACCACGTACGCAGGAGACGTATGTGCGACTTACGAAAGAGAAGGGATGGGTGGCGCTTGACGCGGCAAGACCGCGAACAGACATCTTCACGACTCGACCATCATCCAGCCGCAGCATCTTCAGCATGCAGTCTACGAGTGAAAACGAAGACGGCCCACCACGAACTCTCGTGCGGATATCAGAGGAGCTGTATAACCTCTATTCTATGCCGCCGAGCTGGGTCAGCATCGGATTCCCGAATCGAACGTGGTTCAAGGTCCCAGACGAGAGCTGCCGTACCATCCTGGCGGAGGAGACGATTCTGCAGATGTCGGTGTTCGAGTCGCGCAACATCTTGGCGGCAAGTTCCCAGGGCCGCGACGGCGTGCCGCTCTCTCGCAAGGGCACGCTGAGCTTGGACGACGGCAACACGGTCTGGAATTGCACCTTGGAGGAGATCAAGCACCCGGCCAGTGCGCTGCTGTTCACGTTCCCGTGGAAACAGGTTTGGTGGGTTTTCGAGCTGGAGGGGTCGGACGAGCGGCATTGTGTGGAGCTGCAGCACGGTCTGCGCGGCGGCTTTCGCTCTATCCTGTTCGACGGCGAGTCGCTGCTGCAGAACCGCAGCGTGTCGGACATGTTGTGGGACTCTGGCAGCGAGTTCACGTTCACGTGGAACGATCACGTCTTCAAGGTGCTGATCACGCTCGAGGGGGCCTTCTTCTCGCAGTATCTGCAGTTCTACAGCTACACGCTGGTGGTCGACGAAGAGAACATCGTCCCTGTGGACCAGTAAAAAGAAGCACAAGACTACTGTACTACCGTCGCGGCACGAAGACAGAGAGGTGACGTGAGCAGAGCAGAGCAGCTCATACCGGTTCGAAGGATGGCAGTATGATTTCTTATTAACCGCGATCTTATAGAGAACATTGCACGAGGTAGTGTGGTGTTATGATTGTTGCTGCTGTAGGGGGAGGCTATGGTATCCGCGACCCCAGAGACGCCGTTGATGACTGCTGATACTGACTGACTTGAGCTACGGACGGGCGGGGACTCACTTGTCCATCATTACTGTGATCAGGAAGTCGAGCGCCTCCTCCAGAGGCGGCAGGTCCAGCTGTGGCGCTGATGTGTCGATGGTCAGAGACCGGTGATCTGCTGCTGCGTCCAGCTCCTCTTCGGGCTCGGGGCACTTGTCGCCGAGGCTGAGGCGGAACTGCACGGGGCTGGTGCACGGGCTGGAGCTGGCGCTGGACGGCGGGGACACGGCTTGCGCCACCTGCGCATTGATCTTGAGCGCGCTGGGGGACGTGACCATGACCTTGTTGCTGCCCATGCTCTTCATGAAGTTGCAGAACTGGAGGATGTCGTCGTCGATGCGGTGCTCGACGCGCGCCCACGTCTTGCGGTCCTTGCGCAGGCCGCGCACGCGGCGCATAATCTTCTCGTAGTACTTTTGCGTGTGGGTCTGCACCTGTCGGACGGAGCGCGTGCCGACGGCCGAGGCGATGGAGCCCCACGGGCCGCGCGGGTACTCCTTGATGGCGAGCAGGAAGCGGTCGTGCTCGTCCTCGGACCAGATGCCGTGCTTCATGGTGTTAAACTAGTATTCCGTAGGAATGGGACGGGGTGTGTTGTAGGTTCTGGTAAAGCTGCACCTGGGCAGCTTTGGGGCCTTCCCAACGAATTGTGGAATGACGCATCGTTCAACGCGGGCGAGTCAACGTACGCGAGCCCATCTCTATCACAGCGGCAGGCCTTGAAGTGTCTAGTGCAAATCGACGGCAACTTTCCCTCAAACAGCAAAAAATATCGAAAACCGTGAAAGGCGTGAGGTTTGAGCATTGTTTGGCTGTTGCCGACAACGACCAGGAAACAGAATCACAGTACTCAGGAGGAGATCCAATGTATATCTATAGCGACAACGGAAGTTTGGGCATTTCTTGCCGGCCGCGCTAGGGCACGAAAATCCAGGCCAGCCGCCGCGCCGGACTCTAGTTCAGTGACGAGCGGCATTGCCGACGGCTACCGTGAGATGGACGGCGGTTCTGCTTGCTGAAGTTCGCCTTCGTGTTTCTGGGACGACTTTAACACTGCCGAGCCGCATACACCTCCGCTACCAAATTATCAACATATGAGAAGTCAAGTCAAACCGACCCACGATTTCGCATGCAGACTACTTTGCAGCATTTGATTCCTTTTGCGGCGTTGCAGTCCTCCTGGTCGTCAGTGGGCAACACCCCAAAATTTGCACGACGTCCTCGCAGGTGCCACGAACGACCGCACCATCGTTACTTACCTCGGTTCTTGACCAGCAACCCATGTCGGCTAGTGTATGTCGCCCTCACTTCGGCTTTGGCTGTCAGTCAGAGCAGAGACCTCCATTGTGATGGAGGGCCAAGGAGGCCGCACGACGCACGCCATGGCATCTCCGAGGCAGGTGCATGCACTGCTTGGTAGGAGGTCGGGGATCTCAGGACAACTCTCGCCCAGCGGCAATGCCACGAGTGGCCGTCCCGAGACAAGGCCGGGTGGATTTTCTCGGGGCCGCGTTCGTGTTGCTCCGAAGATTTAAGGATAACGCGACGGTGGTCAGACCCTTGGTATCCTCGGAAGAGAAGGCCCTTGATTGATGATCTGCAGATCTCAGCACCAGCGCCACCAGCGCGCCTTAACGGCTCGGCCGCGGGCTAAACTCGGCCCCAGCGGCAGTCTGCACTATTAGGTCAAATTAAGATCGGCAGCTGGATTTTCTTGTCTGCCTGAAGAAGCCCCTTTGGCTCATACAAGCGCGGGTTTCGGCGCAGGTGAGGCAGACCGGTGGCACGCGCTTGTAGCAAGCGCAGTGGCACCGCGAGCGACAACAGGAGGCGCGGTGAACCCAAGCGGGGTTTGCACGAACACGGTCTCTGAATGTACGTGTACCAATCTATCTACGAATGATAGGGAAAGGATCTTCCGAGTAAGCACGCATGTACTGTACAACGAAACGTATTTTCTACCATTCGCGCGCCAAAACAACGGTCTTGATTGCACTCTTCGACGGGCTGAGAAGCATGCCAGCGCATGGGTCTCCTGGTTCGAGGGTGTCTTGGTTCGAGTTGACTCACACATCCCACGTCCGCGCAGTTTGGTAGCTGTACGACATGTTGCCCCCCTGGACGTTCTGTGGGCATTGCAACTTACACATCGGAGACCGTCTTACATACGTCTATCCCAGCGGGAGGTCAAAGTATCAGATGTGATTCTAGTTTTCGTGGATGACAGCACTCTTTGGTGTTGGTTGTCGACGAATAGCTTCGTGAACCACGTGTCTGCCTTTACCCTTTCGTGGTATCCCGTGCAATAATTAGAACACCGCCATCCCGGACAGTGCCTCTTGCTGTCCGATCAAGATCAGGTGAGCCCTTTGACGTGACACGGCTGATTAGTCTGGCATTTCCATCGGGACACTGTGCGTGTACAACTTGTATTAATACATGTGCACTTATCCCACGCTATTGCAAAATGTACATGATAAAGGGCTACCCCGCGACTATGTGCCGCTTTATCCACACGCCAATGGTCGGGTTTTCATTTACTTTTGCAAGATGCAAAGCTACACAACCAAATCTACTCATGTAAGTAGAGCGTGTCATTTTGACCCTACATCATGCGTGACTGAAATAAAAAAGTGAAAACCTTTTGTCTTGGAGGCCTGCGTAGCATGGCTCACAACATAGCATCGATTTTTCACATCGAAGCGTCTTGCTTCGGTCTTCCTTCTCCTCGGGGATCGAGAGAGGGCAGTCACTCCCCAATTTCCCTCATGGCGGCGATTGCACCAGCACGAGCCTCGACCAACTTCTCAGTTGAGACCCACTCGTCATCCACCGACTCGGCAATGATGATGCTGACCTCCCCGACCGCGACGTCTTCTACCGCCACCCCGACCATCTCAACCAAACCCATCACCGGCAAGCGAGCGGTGGGCGTCTGGTCCAGCGAGGAGCACGACCGATTCCTCGAGGCGCTCAAGAAGTAGCCGCAGGGGCCCTGGAAGGCCATCACCGAGTACGTTGGGACCCGCTTAGTCCGCCAGGTGCAGACGCACGCTCAAAAGTACCAGGAAAAAGTGTCGCGCAGGGTGTACGGCATGCAGACGGGCAAGGCCATTCGTCTGCGGCGTGAACACCGCATCGACCACGACATTTTGGCGCTGCACACGCTCATCAGTTTCCCTCCCGAACTGCGCCACAAGCGCGTGCGTCGGAGTCACCCAAGCGAGGCGAAGCGTGCCCCTGTTGTGACGTCGGTGGAACCACCTGCGCCCGGGGTGAAGACGCCTGAGTTTCAGTGCCCCACCATCGATTTGATTGACAAGGACTTTTGCCCCATCACGGACTCGGATGACGCATCTTCGTCCTCGGTGTCGTCGTCGTTCCTGTTTGACGACTCGGTCTTTGCCCTTGTGGACGCCGACGACCTCCCGACATTGAGCGAGTTGCTTGACTTCTTCATCGAGAACTTATCCTTATATTAGGGAAAGGTCGCGCGCGTCTAGCCCTCTTCAACGTCGACCCCGCACTGACCGACGGAGCTGCAGCAGGCAAATATTTAACTTCATACTTAAGCTTTAAAGTATACTGTTTCGTTTCGTTTCGTGCAAAAGATACATGCATTTGATACAACACTTGCTCTCTCCTCCGATAGAGACAAAGTTGTGCCTTCGGCCCGAAGAAGCTTTGTGATTTTCCAAAGATTTTCGAATGTGAAGGGCGAAAACTGCACAAAGGTCTCATTTACGACTTTGAAATAATCTTTCTGAAACATTCCGAATCCAGAAGGAGAGCCCATTACAAAGCATTTGCGGGAGAAAAGATTTGACACGAGCGTGAGCAAGCTAATGGGAATGTAAGCGTTCCTAACAGAAAACAAAATAAATACCGTCCTAAAGTTCTTGCGGCACGTTGGTCGTGACTGCTATCGCAACAAACAACGCCTGAAGACTGGATACAGCGCACGAGCTCAAATTCAGTTATCGCACTTGAAGTCACAGCACAATATTTGTTACTCGGAACTCGATGGTCGCCCAGGGAACTTGTGAGAACACTTGTAACCACTGCAGTATGTCGTGTAGGAACACGCACTAAATTATATAATAGCACACTTTCCCCACCAAGAACACCCACCAAGTCCCGATGACTCAATGGGCTTGTTAGGGTTAGAACCTGAAGGCCCAGGAACTTTCCCTTGCACCGGGTTGATGTTTCCTCTGTGCATCGTGTTTCCGCTTAGTCAACTGACGGAAACCCAGCGTCACCAGCCACGAGCAAAGGCTGGCACGCTCTCACACGCAATATAAACCTCGCAGGCCCTCAGGAAGGAAGGGTCCCAACCAGTCACGCCTTGATACGAGGGTACCGGAGCTATACTCCGGCGGGAAGGAAAAATGGAGTGCGCTCTCGCTCCTCCACTACTCGGCGATGACTCGCCCTTCGTATACACGGCCACTTCTTCACTACTCTTGGCCTGACCACGGGTAAACGCACGCTACGATACTAGCAGGCGCGTCCACCGACAGTCATAATCCTACCAACAGGTTTATCCAATTGCTACGGGAACTCACCGATAGCCCGGACGTCTTCCTTGAGTGGTTGGGAGGAAAAGCTGTTTTGTTCTTGTTGCCCAAAGGGCTTATCTGTTCTATCTTCTCTTTCCTATGATTCAATACAAATATCTAGTATAAACGCGTCCGTTTTGGATCTTCCCAAGTAACCACCGACCCTTCAGAGCCTCCTCGACGCCCCAAGAGGCCTCTCGATGACTCTATTGGACGATGAAGGGGTTCCCTGACTTGGAGCAGTCGCCGGGGCTCGAACGGTCGTCTTAAGTGCGGATCTCGGGTCAAAGTTCGCTGTAGGTTCGGATCGTACTTGAAGTCCTGGATCTCGAACTTGGGTGTCGACGAGTCTTCGGCACCGGTCCAGAATGGCCAATCAGCATCCGCCGAACATTGCTGAACATGTCCCGACGACTCGGGTCGCCACTGAAGCTTGGTCGTCAGCTCGATTCTCGTTTACCGCTAAATCACTACACCACAAGTACTACAACTACTACTTGTCCGTACTGTGGGTTCAATGCTGTTTTCGCTCTCTGTGCCGATAAAGCCACCTTAGTCATCTAAACACGGGAAGCCGTCGCCCGAGTTATGCTAGCACGCCCGGGTAGTTAGTTCACAAACTTCAACGAAAAGGTTTCGATTGGAATCAGTGGTTTTATTAATTCCCTATCCCATAGTTAGCCGACTTAATTTGTCGACATCTAGCAGTACTGTATAGGAGGGATTTTCTTACAATTAGTATTGTGTTCACCAAGCGTTTTGTCCGCTCGGATTTCCGCGCCATCAAGGGATTTGGCATCACCAAATCCTGGTCGATATAACATATTTACATCCTGCAGAATGCCGACGGAAAACTGGGCATTCTGGTCGATTCGTATAGAGATCGGAAAGGTTTTGGTACCACTCTGCTTCATGTAATACCTCCATCAACCTCCTCACAGACTGCGCCTGGTCATCGACTGCTTGGTTTGTTTGAAATGGGCGAATGCATGCTTTTGGGTGAAGTCGTGCAATGTTCATCAAATGTTCCAACACGATTGATGTCTAGCGGTGGTAGCGCTAGACATCAATCGTATGTATTTTTATTGTAAGATTCGAATTGGTAAACACAAATTTTCGAGTCAGGTCGCTCGAATGTAGGTATTTGAGATGCCCCACACAACCTGCCGCCACAGGTAACATTTGCCTAAAATTTCACCCTGGGCAGGCTTCTCTCACTGCAATTTCATCTTGCAAAGCACAATTATATACCGTATATCCAAAATCAAATCTCGGAAAAGTAATAAACAAAGCCGTGAGGTGTTCATAAAAGTTTACTTCTGTCAGCTGGGGCGTCGTGTTCGTGTGCGCGCGGTGCCTGGCCGCCTTCTAGATCCTGCTCTGCGATGCCTTCTTGCGGAGTGTTGCTGCCGCTAAAAATAAGCTCAACAAAACCTCAGGCAATCGCTAAGGCTCCGGAAGCTCATCAGTTGTCTGTTTTTGTGCTCTGCTCTTTTGAAAATTAGTTGCAAGAAAAATGTCTGAAGGTTTTTGCTTCACGATTTGGTCTATCGTGACCAGAGTTTCGCCTCTTCCGATCGCGAACTGTTTTTCTTTTGTGGGTCATCATTTGGCCGCATAATACATGAGTATCTACTGGCCCTAGCTCGTACGTTATTCGCTACGTGGCGCAGTTTAAACCCCAGACAACTTTACTTCAATAAAGTTCCCGGGTCAAATGCAACTCGGTATCCATGTGGTACTCGAAGTACCGTAACTCTGTAGTTCCTGTGCTATCATAACTCGGTGTCCGGCAGCAGCATTCGCTTGACAGTTGTAATACATGGGAATAAACTACTAGTAGAAGATATTTTATTTGGTAAACTATGGTAGCCACTAAAATTCTAAAGAATATTTCATCTTCATTACTACATGCATTGTAATATGAGCATGGGGATAAACAAATCCTCGATTTGGCTAGCGAAGAAAGGTCATGAAATGTAGCATACGTATGATCGAGACGTTCGCCGCAATCGCTGTGGACATTCGCCACCACTGGGCCAATCCACGATTTGAACTTTTGGGGACAGGAGCGCAAAAATCGCCTTCGCCATTGATCCGGAGCGCGTTTCGGCGGCGACCCCATCTCGAAGAACTGAAGAAAGGCACGTTCTTTGGTGTGTGTGATCCTTGCGTGTGTTACTCTTGAGAACCCGAAATGGTAGGAGATTAAGGAACACAAGTAGATTCGGCCAATTTGACCAAGGTTTAAATACCCCCTGCTATAGCCTAAAAAAGGCTGAAATGAAACCACAGTAGTTACCTCCGGGCCTCTCCCGGGTTAGATCATCAACTAGAGCCCGCCGCGTCCGGGCAACTAACATCGCCAGCACCCGCCTCGTTCGGGTAACTAGCTTAGAATCGCATCCTCAGAACTGTTCGTGGCCTGGCCACCGAGGCAACGGGTACTCACCGCCGGGTCGGGGCTGAGCGTTCCACCAGCTAAGACTGGCCCTTTCCCCTTGAGGGTCCAGGATAGAGACGATGAGGAGGGAGCACTAAGCGACCACGGCCTGGGAGTGACCGGGCTGCTCCCCATTATTCCCTATGAAATATGTAACGGGCCGCCGTGCGTCGCCCTGCACGAGCCACCTGGCCCGCACGGCACATTCGCACACACAGACCCCTCGGCCAAGGCGCCAACTATAGGCACCGCGGCCCCCGCAGTCTCTCTCTACGGCCCTCTAGCACTCTACTGTCCGGCCGTCCCCGCCGTTCCCGTACGGCGTACCTCGTTTTACGTTGCATCCGGCCTCGTCCGGCGTTCACAACCCGTGCTCCAGCGCCAAGTTCCTCAGATTAGTCTCCACTTAATGCCCGTCCTGCACTAATCTTGACTGAGAGTCGAGCAGCACGCCGCTCTCCTACGAAGCCCCCTATTCAAACTACCTACGGGAACGGCGCCCTTCTCCTAAGCTACCTGCTTGGACCTCTCCCCTTTCGGGGCGCATCGCCCGTTTCGAGGCCTCCGAGCCTCACATCCTTCGCCTCCATGTCGCCCCGCCTTGTCCTCATACTGCTCACTGTCCCTGCCGGACGTGTCGTCTCCCTCGCGATCTTCCATCTTCAACCTTCGAACTTCTAGCTACCCCACGCACGTGACGGCAGCCAGCTGGCTAGTCCTTGCCACCGATCGACGTCCCTCGCACACTCTTGCCCCGATCTACGTAACGTACACCACGTTGAGCACGACCGGCGTCACCTGCTCGCCGAGCAGTTTCTTCTCGCTGCCGCTGCATGTGACGGTCCGCCCCAACTACACGCCATCCCCGGACGTAAGATCGTCGGCGATCTTCCCGGCGTCCAGCAGCTCTTCGTACTCAGCAGCACTGAGCCATATCCGTCCTACCGGCATCCCTGGTCTTGTCGTGTACTACACCTCGTGCTCGACTACGTAGCGGCCCGCGCGATTCCGGACCCGTCTTCGCGCCCGCTCCACGATATGCCCTGCCGCCGCGACTTGTAGGAGCTCTGGCATTGGAGCTGGCTGTCGTGACCGTCCACGTCCACGAAGCATACCCACCGTGGCGTCAGCGACACCACTCGTTCTATCACCGTTACCTCCAGCGTCCTCAGCACCGGGGCCGTCTCCACGCTCTCGACTGGCTCCTGCTTCACGGCGAACACCTCCTCGCTGCGCGGGTCGTGCTCGTCCAGCTGCTGCACTGGCTTCTCGCTCGTCGGCTTGCGCACCGCCGTGAATCCCGCGATCTTCATCTGCAGCCACCGCCTTCGACTCTGCGGCTTCCTGCTGGTGACGTGCAGCTTCGCGCCGATCTGCCCGCGCTCCACGAGCCTCGTCAGCTTCTGTTCGCCGGCGCTTCTTTTGTACTTCATCGTTCCTCTCTTCGGCTTGGGGCCGCTCTTGCCGCCGGCGGCTCCGCTTTGACTCTGTCGGCAGAGGCCTTGGAGCAGCTACGGCCGCCGCCTCCATGGCGCTCGTCGCCTCTATTCTTGGCCCAGCAGCTTTCGGCTCGCTCCGCGCCGTTGCCATCGGCCTCGGTTCTTGTCCAGCGGCCACAGGCAGCGTGCCAGTCACCGTCCTCGACGCCTCGTCGGTGCTCACTGGTGTCGTAGCGGTCGTTCTAGCGCCACTCGTCTCCGTCCTGATCTCTTGCGTGCCACCTTCCGCCCGGGCGGTCACATCCTCACTGCTCTGAGTCCGCTCTTGTTCCATGGCGGCACCGCCAGCTACCACCTCTTCCTCGCTCAGTTCTCGAAGCATGCGCTCCGCCACCACGCCCAGTGAGTCACTCGGGCAACTGCACTTCACCAAGAAGCTGCAGTGCGTGATCACCCGCTCATCATTGTCCTCGCGTAGCACTTCCCAATTATCAAAGCCCGCGTCTGCTACAATACGAGCTGGGCCCAGCCACTTATGGGCCAGTTTCGTTATTCCTTTGCCACGAGGTGGTCGCAGCACCCACACGCTGTCGCCAACCGCGAACTCGTTGTGCGCCCGCACCTGCCGATCGTAGTACCTAGCCCGCCTCAACTGGTCCTTGCCCAGCGCCTTCTTGACCGCCTCCGTTGCCGTCGCCATGTTCCTCACCAACGCCCGATGATACTCGGCGAACACGCCGACCTGCGTGACGCCACTCGCCCGCAACAGCTCATTCGGGGCCAGCATCAATTCGTTGGGGCTGTACCCCGTTCCTGAATGCCTCGCACCATTGTAGGAGTAGGCCGCGCACGGCAGCCATCGATCCCAATCACTCTGTGCCTCCGACACGAACATCGCGACCATATCCTTCCACGTCAGGTGGAAACGCTCGATCAAGCCGAGCAGAGCCGGCCGATACGGCACCGGCGTCAAATGCTTCGCCTGGAGAGCACTCACCAGCGCCTACACCACTGCCCCGCTCAGTTCGGGCGCTCCGTCCATCACGAGCTCCCTCATGGGCCCGTACACCAACACCAGCTTCTCGACGATGAAGTCCGCGATGTCTGGCGCCCTGTGGTTCGGCACCGCGGCCACCACCGCATACCTCGTGGCATAGTCCACGGCTGCCACCACATACCGGTTGCCCTTGTCCGTCACCGGCAGCGGGCCTGCTACATCCAGCGCCCAACGATCACCAGCATCTCCCACGCCCTGACTCCGCAGCGGAAGGATCACTTCCTTCGCCTTCCTCGTACCGCAGTCACGGCAAGACTGCACCCATCGTCTCACCCACGCCCGCATATCCGGCCACCAGTAGTTGGCTGCAATCTTAGTGTAGGTTTGAGATGTTCGCAGATGACATGCGAAGATCGAGTCGTGGTTCTCGCGTAGGACCTTTGCCCACAACGAGGACGGTAGGACGACACGTCTGCTACCGTCTCTCGCGTAGATGTAAACCAGCTCGCCCTCGACTCCTACCCGCCGATCGCCGTGTTTCCCCTTGTTCTTCAGATTCTGCACCGTCTTGCCCTTCGCCTGCTCCTCGGCGATCTCGCCGTCAGTCAGCTGCCCTTCGCCTCCTGTTGCTCTTTCGTTCGCACCTCTACCAGCCACCGTTCGTACTGGTGCCCTCGAGAGAGCGTCTGCGACCACGTTGTCCTTGCCAGGGCGATATACAATCTCAAAATCATATTCCTGTAGTTGTAGTGCCCACCGGTGCACTCTACCCGTGAGGCCCTTTGAAGTCAATAGGCACTTCAGCGCGGCGTGGTCTGTCACCAGTCGGAACCGCCGTCCGTACAGGTACGGGCGGAACCGCTTGATGGCCCACATCACTGCCGCACACTCTAGGTCGGTAATGCCACACTGCGCCACGTCCTTCGAGTTGATCTTCGATGCGTACGCTACGGGTTGCTCGCCCGCCCTTGGTCCTGAGTTAACGCCGCTCCGAGTCCTACCTTCGAGGCGTCTGTCACCAACGTGAATGATCGCGAGAAATCAGGATAGGCCAGCAGCGGCCGCTTCAAGCATTCAAACGCATCTTGCTGGGGCTCAGACCACTCCCTTGCGCAACAACAGCGTCAACGGCGCTGCTTTCGCCGCGAAGTTCGGCACGAATCGTCTGTAGTACCCCGACATGTGCACGAAGCTCTTCACCGCGGCCGCGTCCTTCGACACGGGGAAGTTCACCACACTCTCCATGGGGCACACCCCGTTCTCGTTCAACTCGTGGCCCAAATACTCCAAGTGCTCCGTCGCGAACGAGCACTTATTGGCCTTCAGCGACAGCCCCGCGTTGCTCAGACGCTCCAACACCATCGCTAGCTCGACGACGTGCTGGCCTACGACTCCTCTAGAGAAGACGATAACATCGTCTAGATAAACTAAACATGTTTGCCACGTTAGCCCTCTCAACACCGCGTCCATCATCCTTTGAAAGGTCCCTGGTGCGTTTGCCAACCCAAATAGCATGCGCAGGAACCGAAACAGTCCTTGCCTCGTCACAAAGGCGGTCCTTGGGCGCCACGGGTTCCTGCCAATACCCGGCGTGGAGGTCGAAGCTCGTGTACCGCTTCGCACCATGTAGATTGTCCAGGGTGTCGTCGATCCTGGGCAAGGGGTAGACGTCACGCTTCGTAACAGCGTTGAGCATTCTGTAGTCAATACAGAAGCGCACTGATCCGTCCTTCTTCTTGACTAATACGACTGGGAACCCCCCCAGAGCCATTGCCCTCCTCGATGACCCCGTCGCGCAGCATGCCCTTCACTTCCTTATCAATGATCTCGTGCTCACTCTGCGCGTACCGCCGCGGCCTCACTTTAATCGGCGGCTCGCTGCCCGTATGTATCTCGTGCTCCACCGGCAGCGTGGTCGCCGGTGGGCATCCCGTTCGTGGCTCTAGCAGCGCTGGGTAATGCCGCAGCAGCTGCAACAGCAGCTCCTTGTCCTCGGCGCTCATGCGCCCGATCTTCAACTCGTCCTCGTTGCCCAGCGGGCCCGCGTTGCCGAACTATTCGTCCAGCCATCGCTTGACCTTGTCGTTCGTCAGCTCGCCGTTGAGCTCCATCACCGTAATGTCATCACTCGTAGGCGTCCACGTTCCTAGTACCTCGTGTGATGGGAGCTTGGTCGTCGCCCCGACCAGGTTGAGCACGCGCACAACGACCTTGCCCCCGCGAACTGACGTCAGCGTCGGCGCCATTAGCAGGTTGACCTTGCTCCTTGGCTTCGGCATGAAGATACCCACTGTCCCTTCGGGTGCCGCCACCGCCACCGTTACGTTACGGCACGTCTGTGCCTGCATTCGCGCTTTCTTCACCAGCCGCACCTTCGCCGGTCGCTCGTCGTACCGCTCTGCCTGCGAACACGTGAACGGCACCACCTTCTTTTCCCCGCTGTCGTACCACTTCATTTCGCATGACACGAAGTCGATCTTGACTCCGCGCTTTAACATCCAATCCTCGCCTAAGAGGAACTTCGTGGTTGCGCCCTCGACGATGAGCGCGTCCACCTCCATGATCTGGCCGTACTGCGTCCGTATACGGAACCTCCACACGCCCAGAACCTTGGCCACAGCGCCCGTAAAGCCTTCCACGTAGTCGACTGGCGGCAGCGCGTCCAGCCGCTCGCCGAGTCCACACCACGCTTCGCCGGTAACACTATACTGGTCACCGGTGTCCAGTTTAATCCTCTCGTCCTTGCCCCGGACTTCGACCCTCGCGGTAGGGAGTGAGTCCACCGCTGGGGATTGCACTGCTCGCAGACGTCCGATGCGCACGGGTCGCTGTTTTCCCTCGACTCGTTCCTCGCGCGGATGCGCGTACACGCTCCCACTGTGATATTCATACTGGTAAACTTCCCCTCGACCACCGCACCTTTGTCGCGCCTGGTAGCGCGATTCCAATCGCCGCCGCCTCTTCTTGGCTCAGCACCGGGGCGCGCCCGTCCCGCACCTCCGAAAGTACTCCTCCATCACGTAGTAACCGCCATCGGGCCTCTTCAGGCGGTCCAACTCCTTGCGTAGAGCGCGCAACTTCTTGGCACGGGCCTTGCGAACTCATCGCTCGTATCGTCGCCTCGTTCGTGACCTCTGTAGCTCCGTGTCGCCCACCACCGGCGCGGCTTCTTCGTCACCAGTATTCACGCGGCTGGCCAACACCGCGGCTCGCTGCCCAGCATCCTTGCTCGTGGCCGTCTTGCCTACTGCTGTCATGACGCTACCGCCCTGCGCCTCCGGCGCCACCGTGCCCGTCGCCTCACTGACTGCACGTCCATCTCCGAGCCGCTCTCCCTCCGCACGTCGCTTACGCCGCGCGCGCGCGCTCTAGCCGTGCCTGCCGCTTCCGACGCTGCAGCTCGAGTTCTGCGGCCATCGCGTCTTCTTTCGCCGACTTCTGGGCCTTGACGAGCATCACCTTGCCCGCCGTCACGTCGCCCGACTTCATCTCCGTCTCAATAGCCGCCTGCAGAGCGTCCGGCGTGCCGCCGCCGTCCTCCGCGGTCACGTCCAGCTGCGCACCTTCCGACTCGCCACCGGGGTTCGTGGCCTTGGCCTCGCCGTCCAAGTCTTCCGTCTTCGTCTCGTCCATCGCCATCGCTAGCAATTCCTCGACCCAAGCCGCGTTTTCTCCACGATCCTGGTCATCGCTTGCCACGCCCGGCGCCACCCCAGCATTCCTCCCCATGCTGCCGCCACTCGGCGTTGGTACCGCGTCGAACTCCAGGTCACCGTCGCACACCATGCTCCCCGACGCGTGCTTCGCCATACTCTCCTTCTCGTCGGCCCGTAGCGCGGCCGCTGCTGCCGGCTTGGGGCCCTCGCGTGTTTCCTGGCCGTTGCCCTTGGTCTCGGAGTCCACGAACCTCACGCTCCTCTTGGCCTCGCCGCCATGGGACGGCCACGTGCCCTCCTTCGCCTGTCGCGCCGCGTCACCTCCACTACAAAGCCGTTCATTGCATCGACTACGCGGAAGTGCTAGTGCGGCGCGCACGGCGCCATCCCCAGTCTCGTACCCCCCGCGCTGCTCAATGCGCGCCTTCGCCATCTTGCCACACCGTCCTCGCGGTCTCTTGCCGTGCCGTTCTCTTCCCTGCGCAGGCCGTTGTACTCCACCGGCCACTTGCTCACATCGTTCATCTCGTTCTTCCCCCGGATCAGGACTAGCGAGCGATATGGCCGGGGCCCTTATGCTCACTGCACATTTCCCGACCCGTCGGCCGTTGTCGTCGTCGTGTCCTGGACGGACGCGGCTGCATGCACCGCCAGATCTTCCTTTCGTACGTCGCAGTCCCGCGAGTAGTGGCCTGCCTTACCGCACCAGTAGCAGTAGTCGTTCGGGCGGGCCCCGAAACCATCTGTCGTCGTTCTCCGCACGTACTACTCATTCCGCTGAAGCCGCTCTTCCCGCGAAGCGAAGGATTGATCGGGTAGTCGTCCTCCAGCTCCTAGCTGGCCGCACCCAGTGTGGCCCTCGACCTTCAGCGCCTTACCTGGACGCCTCACGAACTGGTCGCCGCTACCTTGACGCTTGCCGCGCCATCCACTTTGTTGCTGTACGGACGTCTGTTGGACGCCGCCACCCGTTTGAATTTTTGAACTGTTCGCCGCTGACCCCTGATTGGTTGGCACCAGCTGAAAGCCAGGTGGGATAGCCATCCACCACTCGTCCAAACGGGCTTTACCGTTGCTTACCGGTCTCCCCTCAGTATCATAGCGGGGTGGCTTTTGGACCTTACCCCACATCGGGCCATAGCCCGTCACCACAGTCCCCTTGTTTCCGCTCAGTCCAGTTTGTTCCTGATCTCGTGCCGCTCTCGCCGCTGCCAGAGGCCCGCGCGCACTGGCGCTTTCGCGCTCGTCCCACGCGGCCATGGCCTCCTCCAGGCCCACGCCGTATCCCTCACCGTAGTCTCCCACATGCGGGATCGCCAGGTTCACTGCGTCGTCCAAGTTCCTGGGGCGATGGCCGCGCACGTGTGTTGCGCCGATCGTGCTACTCATCCCCTTCAAGAACGCGTTGACGAGCCAGTCCTCGCCGATGTCACCCTGCTCGGCTATCTCGCGCAGCGACTGCGCGTATTCCAGCTGTCGCTCACCGCGCATCTGTCGCCGCGAGTTCAGCTAGTCCACGACCTCCGGTCCCGTCCTGCGCGTCATGTACTTCGCGCGTAACATGTCCGCCAGCGTGCCGATGCTCTCCTCCGACTCTGACACCAAGCCCGCAGGAAGCCTCGAACACTCCTGCCCGGAAGGCCCTTGTCTGACTACCATGTAGTTACCTCCGGGCCTCATCCGGGTTAGATCATCAACTAGAGCCCGCCGCGTCCGGGCAACTAGCATCGCCAGCACCCGCCTCGTTCGGGTAACTAGCTTAGAATCACATCCTCAGAACTGTTCGTGGCCTGGCCACCGAGGCAACGGGTACTCACCGCCGGGTCGGGGCTGAGCGTTCCACCAGCTAAGACTGGCCCTTTCCCCTTGAGGGTCCAGGATAGAGACGATGAGGAGGGAGCACTAAGCGACCACGGCCTGGGAGTGACCGGGCTGCTCCCCATTATTCCCTATGAAATATGTAACGGGCCGCCGTGCGTCGCCCTGCACGAGCCACCTGGCCCGCACGGCACATTCGCACACACAGACCCCTCGGCCAAGGCGCCAACTATAGGCACCGCGGCCCCCGCAGTCTCTCTCTACGGCCCTCTAGCACTCTACTGTCCGGCCGTCCCCGCCGTTCCCGTACGGCGTACCTCGTTTTACGTTGCATCCGGCCTCGTCCGGCGTTCACAACCCGTGCTCCAGCGCCAAGTTCCTCAGATTAGTCTCCACTTAATGCCCGTCCTGCACTAATCTTGACTGAGAGTCGAGCAGCACGCCGCTCTCCTACGAAGCCCCCTATTCAAACTACCTACGGGAACGGCGCCCTTCTCCTAAGCTACCTGCTTGGACCTCTCCCCTTTCGGGGCGCATCGCCCGTCTCGAGGCCTCCGAGCCTCACATCCTTCGCCTCCATGTCGCCCCGCCTTGTCCTCATACTGCTCACTGTCCCTGCCGGACGTGTCGTCTCCCTCGCGATCTTCCATCTTCAACCTTCGAACTTCTAGCTACCCCACGCACGTGACGGCAGCCAGCTGGCTAGTCCTTGCCACCGATCGACGTCTCTCGCTAACTCTTGCCCCGATCTACGTAACGTACACCACGTTGAGCACGACCGGCGTCACCTGCTCGCCGAGCAGTTTCTTCTCGCTGCCGCTGCAAGTGACGGTCCGCCCCAACTACACCTCACTTAAAATGAAAACGAAATACCACCTTGCTATGCGGCCCGCTAGGCCCTAATGACTCGCATCGCTTGCTTGGACAGAACCCTAACACACCCGCTGCGGCTCCCACGCGTCGCCTCCGCTAGCTAGAAGGTCTGGGCTTGTATCCAAGTGTTCAATGCTTGTATCGATTAATGTCTTTTCAGCGGTGTTATCGCTGATCCCAATTAATCCGATTCTTCTCCGATTCACTGGTACAATCAACACGGTCTATCCACTCCGGCACGGTAGTCACGTTGTTTCTCACGGCTACAGATGTGCCTTGGGTGCGTGCCTCATATCCCAAAGCCATTCACTCTGCAATTCGCCGACTGCCGAGCGCAGTACCAACCATCCACCACCGACCGCACGGCAACAGCCATCGAGTCGGCGCCATGCTCCAGTCTTGGTTCGCTGCAGTCTGCTCCGTGGCGGTTTTTGCATCCACAGTAGGCGCTGCCGACAGCTACGATGCTCAAGCTCAAGCGATCGTCGACGGCTTCTCCGCTGAACAATTACTGGGGCAGATGACGCAGCTCACGCTCGGTGTCGTCATGAACGGCACCACCCGCGAGCTGAACGAGACCGCGGTGCGATCATTCGCCAAGCAGCATGTCGGATCGTGCCTCAACGCGTTCTGGGAACAACCGGTGAAAGGAAGCTACGGCTACAACGCCTCCGAGTTCCGCGCGATCATTGGTCGCATCCAGGAAATCACCATGGAGGAGAACGGAGGACACCCCGTCATCTACGGAATCGACTCGGTCCATGGAGCCAACTATGTCGACGGATCCGTGTTGGTCCCCCAGCAGATCAACAGTGGTGCGAGCTTGAACCCCGAGTTGGTTGAGAAGGTAGGCGCAATTACGGCGCGAGACACGGAAGCGGCCGGCATCCCGTGGGTCTTCGGCCCCATTCTCGACATTTCGCAAAACACGTTATGGGCCCGCACCTACGAGACGTTCGGCGAGGACCCGTACCTGGCCTCGGTCATGGGAGCCGCTCTCACCCGCGGACTGCAAAGTTACAACCAGACGGCTGCGTGTGTCAAGCACTTCATCGGCTATTCCAAGACCCCCACAGGCCACGATCGCGAAAATATCCTGTTGGGAGACTTCGAGCTGTCGAACCACTTCCTGCCTCCTTTCAAGGCGGCCATGGAGGCTGGAGCTCTGTCCGTGATGGAGAACCACATCTCTCTCAACGGTGACCCGGTGATCTCCAGCTCCAGGATTTTGAACGATCTGCTTCGATCAGATTTGGGGTTCGACCGAGTGTTGCTGTCGGACTGGAACGAGATCTACAACCTCCACGACTTTCACCGAGTGCCAGCACCCGCGAGGAAGCTGTCGCAATGTCCCTGAAGGAGACATCGATCGACATTAGCATGGTGGCAACGGACACCGACTTCATCGAGTACGGACTCAACATGCTGAAGGAGAACCCCAACCAAGAAGCTCGTCTGCGCGAGTCCGTAAAACGCGTCATTAAGATGAAACTCCAGCTCGGACTCTACGATAACCAGTGCCGGGTGAGCAGTACGTGTCAATGGTGGGCAAGGACAAGGACAAGGAGGCTGCGCTTGAGATGGCCCGCGAATCTATCGTACTGCTCAAGAATGAAGACGATGTCCTGCCCCAGCCCAAGAGCGCTAAGGTTTTCCTCACTGGTCACTCAGCAGACAACGTCGGCTACCAATGTGGCGGCTGGACGTTCATCTGGCAGGGCTACTCGGGCAACGACATGTTCAACCACGGAATTTCAGTTCGCAAGGGCCTCGAACACCTTGTTGGCAACGATTCGTTTACGTTCTTCAATGGCCTCATGGCTAACGGATCGATTTCGGATGCGGACATGGTCAAGGCTGTCGAGCTCGCCAGCCAGCACGAGTACACGGTTGCGGTCATCGGTGAATCCTCGTACACGGAGGAGCCCGGTGACATCGACGACCCGGCCCTGCCCGAAGGCCAGGAGAAGTTCATCGAGGCCCTGGCCGCCACTGGTACCAAGGTCATCGTCGTGCTGTTTGGCGGTCGCCCGCGACTGCTTGGCTCCAATCCCTGACCACGCCGTCGCCATCATCGACGGCATGTTGCCCTGCGAACTCGGCGGTCAGGCCATGGCCGAGATCCTCTACGGCGACGTCAACCCCAGCGGCAAGCTGCCGATCACGTACCCGAAGGACCCGGCCAACATCGCCATCCCGTACAACCACCTCGTAACCACACGCTGCATGTGGGACAACTGCTGGATGCAATGGGACTTCGGCGCCGGCTTGAGCTACACCAAGTTCAACTACTCGTCCGTAACGCTGGACAAGACGACCATCGCGAACACAGACGACACGCTGACGGCCTCGGTGACCGTCACGAACGTGGGCAAGCGCGCCGGCAAGGAGACGGTGATGCTGTTCCTGATCCAGCCGTACCGCAAGATCTCGGTGCCCGAGATGAAGATGCTCAAGAAGTTCAAGAAGATCGAGCTGCAGGCGGGCGAGTCCATGGACGTGTCGTTCTCGCTGTCGGCGGAGGACTGGGGCGTGTACCAGCCGCAGATCGGCCAGGGCCTCAAGCGCATCGTCGAGGACAGTAAGTACGTGGTGGCCATCAAGCCGGACACGTGGTGCGATGTGTACGGGGGGAACACTATGAACCCGCTGTGCGCGGAGTTCACCATCGACACGAGCAGTGGTGCTGGTATCGTCAGCGCCGGCGTCCAGCTTTAGACAGATTCGATTTGATAGGAATTGGCTATGCTTTGAACGCAGATGCAAACCTTTGATGAGACCCAGGCAGCAGGGGTCGGACAATACAGTATGAAATTGTATTGCGAGGCCAAAGCAGGCGTCCCCGGCCTATTCGCCATCGTGGTACTACAGTCATACCTCTATAAATGACACCCAGTTCGCTCGGTCTAATACGCTGTTTCAGTTAAAGAATTGATCAGATAAAGAAATGGCTACACTTCTAATGGCTACATTTTCATATGTTAGGTGCACAGTACAAGGGCTTTCATTACCTGGTACCCCTCCAGCATTTTCGTACTCTTGTTTTGTTTCGTCTTCACACAGACAGAACTTAACCAATAACGGTTGGCGCGGTATTGTCTGTTCCTACTCCTTCTTCTCATTGGTATTAGCAGAATCACATCCTCTCAGGTTGTACGTGAGTTTCAATACAGTGAGGCTATGGGAATATTTGTTGTCCCGATATCCTGCCACCATGCCTGCAGTTTTATCTTTTGCTTGGTATCTACTGCATAGCACCTAGTTGTCTCGACATCATAATATTTTAGTGTTTTGTAAAATATATATGTACGCTGCGCTGATTGTAAAATACTGTGGCTAGCTTATTTATCAGTACTTACAAGCTTCCAGCTACTACAAACTCTTTGTTCCAACTTAGCATTCCAAACAAAATTTACCTCTTCGCTCGATTTGTTGTGGCGGGAGTAGTGGTAGCAATGGCATACGTGAGAGGAGGCAGGCAAGTGATTAAGAAAAATATATGAGTTTGGATCTATTACTACGGCGTCCATTTAGAGGGTTGAGGCGCCAACAATGGCGACCATTTTGTTCAGAGAATAAAGAGGTTTTTTATCAGTTATAGAACACCTATAGTGAAATCCATATAATCCCGTTTGCAGTCGAGGAATCCTAACCAGATAGGGAGCACATAGTCAGTTAGAGGGGTTCATTTAGGGAGGTGTCACTGTAATGATGTTTGCGAATCAACGAGATTCCCGCGGTCTGAACATAAATGAGTATGTACTGACTTACTACAAGCGTAGCTCAAGAATCGGTGGAGGTATTTTCGCAAGGTGCCACTTGTCGCAGTAGGTATCGCTGTACACTCATCTAAATCAATATGTTTGCAGAAGTAGCGCGCAAATCTTGAGAGCTTGTTGTACTTCCTGACAGGAAGTTCCTGTGCAAGTTACAATAAAATACAGTGACACCTCCCTAAATGAACCCCTTTAACTGACTATGTGCTCCCTATCTGGTTAGGATTCCTCGACTGCAAACGGGATTATATGGATTTCACTATAGGTGTTCTATAACTGATAAAAAACCTCTTTATTCTCTGAACAAAATGGTCGCCATTGTTGGCGCCTCAACCCTCTAAATGGACGCCGTAGTAATAGATCCAAACTCATATATTTTTCTTAATCACTTGCCTGCCTCCTCTCACGTATGCCATTGCTACCACTACTCCCGCCACAACAAATCGAGCGAAGAGGTAAATTTTGTTTGGAATGCTAAGTTGGAACAAAGAGTTTGTAGTAGCTGGAAGCTTGTAAGTACTGATAAATAAGCTAGCCACAGTATTTTACAATCAGCGCAGCGTACATATATATTTTACAAAACACTAAAATATTATGATGTCGAGACAACTAGGTGCTATGCAGTAGATACCAAGCAAAAGATAAAACTGCAGGCATGGTGGCAGGATATCGGGACAACAAATATTCCCATAGCCTCACTGTATTGAAACTCACGTACAACCTGAGAGGATGTGATTCTGCTAATACCAATGAGAAGAAGGAGTAGGAACAGACAATACCGCGCCAACCGTTATTGGTTAAGTTCTGTCTGTGTGAAGACGAAACAAAACAAGAGTACGAAAATGCTGGAGGGGTACCAGGTAATGAAAGCCCTTGTACTGTGCACCTAACATATGAAAATGTAGCCATTAGAAGTGTAGCCATTTCTTTATCTGATCAATTCTTTAACTGAAACAGCGTATTAGACCGAACGAACTGGGTGTCATTTATAGAGGTGTGACTGTATACAGCCGGGACTAACCCGGGGACATGAGGGCAACCAATATGATGGCTTTGCATGTGGCAAAGACAGTTTTTCGGGAAGGAGGAGCAGCTGTTCATGCTCCCAGGATCGGCGCGCAGAGCCGCCGCAAGATCTGTGGCCAAGGCCGACCTGGCCTGCTGGCCGCTCATTTCCAATCAAGCCTCCTCAAGCAAAGAAAGCAGATAAGCCAAGCGATACAACGTTTCGTGAGCATCCATAAGACACCATGCAACGCCAACTGGTTCTGCTTTATCCGGAGGACATCCTCGCTGGTCAAGACGTTCGTCTCCCCGCTCCCACGTACTTGAGCGTCGCAGACGACTTCCAGCCGGACACGGTCCTACTTGAAGCCACGGACGGCCAGGCCGACGTGAACGTGCTCGGCATTTCGCTGTGGGTCCCTCGCCCGGTAGCTTTTCAGCGCATGGTGTGGACCGGCGATCGAACACGGCGCACCGAGGCAGATGCTGCGCCGCCCGGTTGCAGCGGTGGTCGCGTCGGGCACCATTTACGGTCAGGTTGTTGCCTATGCGGCGGCTCAACTTACCGTGCGCCACGCGCACGGCGTCACCCACGTCCCCGTTGCTCAAGCCGAGGAGATTGCCCCCGCCCTGGTTTTCCTGTTGGCCCGGACGAAGATCACGTTTCGGAGCGCCACGAGGGGCCGCCGTAGCAGGGCTGCCGTACACGCAACTATCCTCAACCGTCTCCTTGGTCTGAACGGAGAGCATTCGTCTCGCTCTATTCGCGAGCTCCTGGCGGGGTTTGTACCAGCGGCGAAGCAGCCCCAGCCTTCGGACACTCTGCTGTGGTGCTGCCCGACTACTGACCGCGACACCCTGTGCCGTGTGCAACATGTGATTCACTTCGGGTACTCCGTCGTCGGCGGCTCTTCGCTGCCCTCGAACATCGCCATCGGTGTTACCTTTTGCGCTGATCCGGGCGTCGGCGCTAGTCGCCATAACGTTCCCCGGTCTGTCCACGCCCCTACTGCTGTGCGCGACTCGTCTCCAACTGCTGTGCGCGCGGATTCGTCGGTCACCCAATTCGCCGACCTGCTTGATGCCCTCGAGGGGCCAAGGGAGGTCAACAACAGCACCAGCCCCGTGTCTGCAAGCGCGCGCCGTCATTCCGATCCAGAAGCAGGATCCCGTCCAAGTCACTCGCCACCACGCGCACCTATGCGAGTGGCCGTGCGGGTGGAGGTGAGGTCGGAGCCCAACCCGCCGGCCCCACCTGCGTCAGACCTGTCGGCTCCTGTACGGATCATGTCGCTCCTCGCGGACTATCCGGACCTTCTGCAAACGTACGCCGGCCAACTTCAAAGACTGGAGCCAAAGCGTCGCCGAACGGACTACGGTGCTCCCTCAGACTTTGTGACCTCAGCCGAGGATTTACCGGACCGCCATGGGAGTTTCCGTCCGTCGCCGGCTCAACCCGCAGTTCACGATCTGATCACTGCGGAAGAACACCGAGGTAAGTCCCCTGTATCGTTCGTTGAATACGCTCCATCTTCGTCGGCAACCAAGTTCGTTCCGCACCCTGCCATCTTCAGCCGCCTGTACGACCTGAATTTCGACGTCTGCGAACTATCGATCCTGCACTTCCGTCGTTTTGACATGCACGCTCGGCTGGAACAAGCGGGCTCCGGTTCGGTCAACATGCGCAACTACTCCGCCAAGGTGGACCTACCCAAGGTCACGTTGACCCCGAGCTATTTTGACGTCGTCACGGCGTTACGAGTCCTCAACTCGTACGTCAACGAGTTCTTCAACGCTACGACACGTCGTCTACTTGCTGCGGCTGAAGATTTCGCTGGAGAGCTGGATGACTACGGCCACGGAGGTCCGCGCGCTAGCGTTTTGGTTCAGCCGCGTCCTGGGAGCCTATCGTATTGCTGCTGCTCACGACGCGGAACACGGGTCCGAGACCCGGCTTGCCGTCCGCAACCGGTTCTGCTTGCAAGACGCTGAGTTCAACGGGATCCTCCTTAAGCTGTCCCGTTTCCCGGACCGCAAGTCTCCGTTCACGCAGGCCTCCGCCGCTCCTACGCCCCAGCGGGACAATTCAAGCTTTTCTGGCCAGCGACCGCAACTGTCCGCCGACAAACCGGGCCCGCGACGCTCCGTCCCTCTTGCAGTGGCAAAGGCTGCACCGCACCTGGATGGAAAACAGCTTTGCCTGCGGTCATCTCGGCTCAAGGCTGCCCGTCGCAGTCTCCGGACCGATGTACCCACCACTTCCTGGTCCACTTCACGCCGTCGACTCTCAAGCCCGCTGTCAAGTCGTACATCGTGGAAAAGTATGGTGGCCTACGGGCGGACCTCGCTTCGACCCTCTGACATGAGCGATACGTCGCTACTCATACACTTTCGGTGACGCCGGCAGTCGTCACGGCTGTGGCGGCGCGCCTTGAAACCTTACTCGTGGAGGCCGAGCAAGAAATTGCAAATGGGAAGCTGGCGGCGTCCCGCGGTGCGGGTGTGAGACCACCGGAGCCGTCGTCACAGTGGCTCGAGACACCACTAGGCCCCTCGTACAGACTCGATGCTGGAATGCACAACGCGCTGGTGACTTACGCCCTAACAAAGCTCTGGAGTCGCAGCACCTCGATTGGCTGCTGCATGGCTACGACCACCGCGAGTTGCTTCTTGCTACAATTGCGGGGGTGTACGCCACATCTTCCGCCAACAGCCTCCCAATCGCCGAAGATCCGTGAAGAATCACAAGTCCGCACTGACGCCGTCTAATGCCCTCCGCCGAAGCATCCGAGAAGGCCAAGAGGCCGGAACGTATCTCGTCTTGGACCGCGACGTGGCTCAGCGCTACAGCCCGTTTGGCTGCGTTCCAAAGGCCGATACCGACCCCGCCCACTAGTCATTCACGACTTATCATTCCCCGCTGGCGAGTCCGTGAATTACCTATCAGACCCAGACAAGCTACCGCCGCTCGTCTATGAGAGTATCGGCGCCATCGCTCGGCGAATCGAGACGCTGAAGCAGCGATCTCCAGCAACGCCGGTCAAGCTGATGCGAGGCGACGTCAAGTGGGCGTTCAAGCATGTCCATGGGCATTCGTCGGTCTGCGTCAAATTTGCAGGGGTCTTACCCGAGGAGAACGCGGTGGCGATCGATCTTGCGCTGCCCTTTGGCTGGACCGGATCCCCAGCCCATTACGCAGTTTTTTGGCTCGGCGATTTCCTTCCTCGTCCGGTGCGAAAGCCCCTCGAGTCTCTGTCCGACTGACCCCGACGCGTCTCCATTTTTCTGCTTTGAGTGGGCCGATGATCACATGCTGATTGAAGAAGACGTCGCTAACCGCCTCGAACTGTGCGAGTGTGCGCTACGGCTGGCGATGCTAGCGGTGCTTGGGCCACGAGCGGTCAATGAGAAGAAGTTTACATGCTGGTCGACCCAATCCCGGGCGCTGGGCCTCGACTGGGACACCGAGCGACGCACGGTTTCGATTCCGGAGGACAAGATCGATAAATCACTCCGTAGTGTCGTGACGCTGCGCCGCAAACTACTCGTCACACGCACGGAGCTACCTGAGGTATTTGGGTTTCTGTGGCACGTGTGCTCGTGCATCCGTCCGGCAAAACCATTCTTTCAGCGGCTAGCGGCCCTACATCGCAAAACGCCCAGGTTGGGGAAAATTCGCCTGAGCGCTGCAGCCATCCTGGATCTCGAGTGGTTCGACCATATTCTGCGACATGGCCGCCTTCGCGGAATGCCGCTGCGGTACTTCTCGGAGCGGACGTGAACATCCTCATGGACGCAAGTGACCTCGGTGTCTGTGCTCTTCATCCAGCCCGCAAGCTTTACATTCAAGTGCAATTTGACGAGGCAGAGAAGCTGCTGATGGCCCAAGGCCTATTGTCCATCAATGTACGGGAGAAGGTGAGCGCCGTGTGGGCGGTGCTGTGCTGGGGCCACGATATGCGCCCTACCTCTGGAGACGATCTGACCCACATCAAGTTCTGGATCGACAATCGCTGCGCTGTATCCTGGTGCAACAACCTCAGCAGTCGCGACAGCATGGCCCAAGAACTGTACCGGGTGCTAGGTGCGGTCGAAGCCCAGTGGAATCTCCGTGTGTCAGCACATCATTTACCGGGAGTGGACAATACCATGACGGATGCGGGCTCACGAACTTGGGATGCCCGATATTCTCACCGGTGGCGCAAACTAACTCGTGGATGGTCCCAGGTAGCGGTCCCAGCTGTTATTCGGAAGGTTGACTTGCCGAGTTGGTCCCCCTTCAACAGCATCCCCTCGCCGAATCCTCGCGGCGCCAGTATGCTGGCACCTGGCGCCAACGGGCCGCCTTCTGCCAACGGCTTGGCCGCAACCGATGGCTATCGCCCCAGGACAGAACCGCGCACTCGTTACTCCTGGCTCTCTTCGCCGTTCATTGCTGGGCAGGCCACGCGGGACAAGGACGTATGTCGCCTGGAACGATTCAGTCTAAATTGTGCCATGTCCGCTGGTATCATCGGGTCTTCGCTGGATTCGAACCAAGTCTTGAAGCCCACCACGCTTTGGTTCTGTCCGGCATGCGACGCGTTAGCCCGCCCCCCTCGCGACGAGAACCCGTCTTGCGTGCAATGCTGGAATGGATCCTCAACCGACTCGACTTCAACAAAGTACAGCACCGCGTCATTGGTGGGGCTGCGATGCTGGGCTTTTTTTTGCTGCTCCGGAGTGCAGAATATCTCGCGGTGAGAGGCAAGCGAAGAGTCTACACACTCCAAGTAAGAGATGCTGTTGTCCGCGATGCACATGGACGGCAAACGGAAAGCGCACAACAGGCACGATCCAGCGAGTTAACATTCCGAGGACAGAAGAACGATCAAGAAGGACACGGGACGAGTCGAAGTTCACAGCGATCGGGTGACCGGAGGTTTTGCCCGGTCACAGCGGGTATGCTTCTACTACACAATGCCAGCGAGCTCGGCCTGGCCCCAGGTGATCCCCTATGCAACCTGACACCAGGGCGATTGCTATCGGCCGAGTTCTTGGCGAAACTTCTGCGCGCATCAGCCACAGCAACCGGGAAGGGTCCTGTTGGGATATCCTGTCATTCACTGCGGAGCGGTGGCGCGACGACACTGCTGGCAGCAGGCATCGATAGCACCGTGATAATGCCCCACGGTCACTGGCGTTCAGATGTATGTCAACGCTACACACGGTACGAAGAAACGACGAGCAGGAACATCGCGGCGCGAATGGTGAATCCAAGTGATGAGAGCTGATAATGGTGGTATCTTGCTTTGGGGGGTTCACGCCTGCTAGGCGTGGCTCGCTACCGCCATCTTTCAGCCTACTCAATACCATGTTGCCTTTGGATTCCCCAACTCGCGCCTGCAACTGCTTACAGCACAATACTTCACCGCTTGACTACTACTAACACCTTTAGTGCTTGTAGCCATGTACTGACGATGCTGAAGCGGCAGAGCGGAGATGAATAATAATAATTGATACAATTTAAGTATATTGTACCACTCGTGACATGAGCTATTCATTGCCAAAATGTGACAGGAAGGCCGCAAACTTCACGCGAACTTTACGCAAACGTCCCATGGCTGATATCGAACTATTACTGAGGTGTCAGGCCAACCTATACAGTGAGAAAATACAGGTGGAGGCTGATGACGATTACAATAGCCCTGTACTGTTTCCAGGACGGTTTTGGGAAGTGTTGCTGTCCGGTAAAGTAGTAGACAGGTCTCTAGCAGAGCGCAGGCTGGATCCTGCTGCGTAGGGGGCCTTGCAGACGAACACCAAACGAGTATCTCGCGTCACTTAGCTCAACAGGAACCAAAACCAGAATGCTTTCATTGTTCTCTTTCTCCTACCGCATACTCCCACATGCAACGTGTCGTACACGAGGAGGGAAAGCTGTCGGACATGCACTACAGCAACTTCAACAGTAAAAAAACCCTTCGGTCTGTCGTGTCCCAACTAACGGCGCGCAGATCTTCTTGTCTCGCGTCCGACCTGGCTCCAGCATGAGTGAACCTCGCAGCATTCATCAACTCGCAATGTAGCCATCGGTGTCAGCCCATTCCTGCTAGAACTTTACGCAAACGTCCCATGGCTGATATCGAACTATTACTGAGGTGTCAGGCCAACCTATACAGTGAGAAAATACAGGTGGAGGCTGATGACGATTACAATAGCCCTGTACTGTTTCCAGGACGGTTTTGGGAAGTGTTGCTGTCCGGTAAAGTGCTATTGAGTATACACCGCTTGCTCCACAAAAGCCTCGCAACCCAAGGCTGCGTCCTCGACCCGAAAAATAGAGATTATAATAGTTTATTATAGCATTTTCATCATTTATGAACGCCCAACCCTAGAATTCATAGTACTTGATATTGTATTGCTATTATAGGGGCAATATCATATTGTATTGCTTTCATGATCTTCCAATAATAAATAATTGTAGTGGGACAATACCATAATAATTGTTGTGCTATTATTTTTTCCGACCCCTGCCAGGCAGAACATTCGATACATTTTACCATTACCTGGGTATGCTGGATGACTGAAATTGCTTATGACAGCGAGTTGTCGTACACGAGGACATTTTTAAGGTCTCATCCATTGATTAACTGAGCTCCAACGGTTTACTTAGTAGAATGACGAGGGGCCGAACGTTGCAATGCTACATTTTATTTTCGAGGTGGCCAATAACCTTTTATCGGCCTCGACAACCCTCAAAACCCGCGAGTTACATGTATGTTTCTGCTAAACTTATTATACTTCGCAGCTGTATGGCATCCCACATCTCACTGACATTTACATTTCGTTATTTTACCATTAAAAAAGTAATATTGTGCTTTACATACTTTTGGCACTGCGGACTGCAACTTGTACGACTTAGTCATCTGTCAATCCGTCCGCGGTGCATCACAAAGTTTGCCACTTGCCATACATAGTGTCGGTGGAGACGTCGTCCCCTTCACTTACTCTTAACACAGCCTCCATTGGCGCAACGAAAGCTCTCCCTCCTCAAATTGCTTGACGCAAGCTTTCCGCCTCTTGTCGTGGCACAGAAAGAAATACTCAAGTCAACCAGGTCCATCATAAGATGTGGCGAATTCGTCTACAGGCGTTTCCACATTTCTGACACAGTTCGTGGTAATTGGGGGGTTACGTAGGTTACACAGTCGGTTACGAAGCTGATTACACTCAGAAAGCAGAAATGCTCATGCACGGCGCACTCAGGTAAGCCCTCGCGCGCCTTCCCCAGCGTGTACCTCAGCCCTCAGTGCATGCCCACGGCTCTCTGCACGATGCTCACCTCCATCTGTGTCTGCTCTTGCTCCTCATATCGCAATCTCCCCCCAACTCCCTACACAACGCTCGCAATTCCAGCGCGTACCTGCGCGACACCGCCGGCTCCCTGTCCGACCCGTTGCACGGCCACAGCTTCCTCTCCGTGAAGATGCGGCTGCTGCCGACGGTGGACCGCAGTCTGCTCTTCTTCCGGGACTGTTTGCTGTGTCGCGAGCGGCTCCTGACCATCGGGAAGCCGCAGAACGCGCGTCGACGCAAGCTGTCGGGCTCTTCGGCCAATAAACCCGACGCGGGCGCGCCCCGAGCGTCGAACTCCGGCGTCTGCCAGTGTCTGAGCTGCGGCAGGTTCGCGCATCGAGAATGCGTGAGCTTCTCGCACGCGCACCGTTATTGCAGGGGCCACGAGAGCCTCATGCCGGTGTGCAGCCATGCTCCACCGTCCGCAGACGCGTTGCTGTTCCCGCCACCGTTGGAGGGGCCACAGAGCAGTGACAAGGGAGCTCCTAAAGCACACAAGATACGCAGGAAGAACAGTGCGAGTAGCGCGGAGAACCTCACGCTGGCCACGTTGATTGAGGAGCTGAACAGCAGTAGCGTCGCTGGCATTGGTGCGACGTCCACGGCCGTCGTGAAGACTGGAGGCGCGCAGAAGCAGCAGCTGCAGACGGCATCCAAGATCGCCAAGAAGCTGGCGCCCGTACTAGCTGCTGGAGGCGTCGTGGGGGCCATCGCCATGGGGCCTGCGGCTGGAGTGCTGGCGGGACTGAACATGCTGGTGGCCAGTGTGGGCGCGGAGACGGTCATGGCGGGTATTGGACTCACGGCGAGTGCAGCAGCGGCTGCCACTGTGACGCATCAGAGCAAGGTGAGGGCGGACCAGCGGAAGAAGGAGAGGCTGCGGAAGGGCGAGTGGGCGATGGAGATATGCTGGAACTGCAAGAAGAACTTCGACGGTGCTCCCTCGGACGAGGTCTGGAAAAAGGACGCGGAGTTCCTGCGTCGCTTTCAGCTGCCAGACCCACGACGCTACCAACGAGAACAAGCTGAAGAAGATGACGATGGTAGCACCGAGACGTCTTTGGCGAGTGAAGAAGCCCCAACAACGCAGGAAACCAGGCCGGATGATACCGAAGTGTACCGCTTCTTGTTCGGCATCTTTTCTTCGCCCAGTGAGCTACTCGGGCAGATGAACGTGCAGCTATGCGAGGCTTTCCGTAAGCGCTTCACGGAGAGGCATCAGAAGCAGCAGATGCGACGATCGAGCTTCACAGAGACAGCTGCGGCTCGCGCGCTGGCCAAGGATACGCTTCAAGATACCAAGATGTACATCGCGCATGTTCTGGGTGCGACCTTGCAGTGCCTTCCAAGTCTGGCGAGTACTCCTGAAGCGGTCAGCAGCTGTACCCTAGCAGTGGAGCGGATTGTTTACGACGACATCCACGCGATGGTGTTTGGCGAATTCCAGCGCGCGTTCAAGGATGCGGACACGGCCTTCGCTGATAACCTGGCGGACATTCGGCGGGAGCAGAAGTATCACTCGACTGCGCTGTTGCAGCTGCCGCACGCTCCACAAGAAGGAGCTAACGGCAAGCGTTCTCGGCATCCTGTACTCGCTGAAGACCTACAGAAGGCCGAAGGGAAACTAGTCACCATGATGCAGGAGACGTCGTCCCCGCTGCTGAAGTTGGTGCTGCTTTGTGACGGTTTCCGAAGCATCTGCTGCTTCGCGGAGAAGCTGCACCGATCGGCCTCGAATGCCGATATGCTGATACCGATTCTGTGCGCGTTCCTGGTCGAGTGTCCGCGGCTGTGTCAGGCTGGCTCGGACTTCGTGGCCGAGATCGCGTTCATCTCCTTCTTCACGAACGGAGGCGGCAAAGGCGTCGAGGGCTACGTGCTGACCACGTTCCAGGCTGCTGTACAGGTTATCGCTGCTGTGGATTTGCCGAGCGGCCACGCGAAGGAGCTGGAACTGTTCATTAACGACGACGAAAGCGAAGCCGCTGACGAGACCGAAGACGACGAGGAGGACGAGTTCTTTGATGCCGTGTCCACGACAACCCCAGCGTCTCAGTCGCAGATCTGACCCTGAGGCCAGGCTTGATTCGAAAGCCAATCAGCCCATATAACAGTACGTTAGACCGTATGTAGATATGTTTTAGAGTGTAGAGGAATGCCACGCTGCTACTACCATTGAGACTGGATGCAAGATTGACTAGCACCACCAAGCCTTTTGGTGGAGCGATGCCGTCGGTGTCGTGTGCTCGAACACCAACGTGGTTCGAGATCTGGAAGCGATAAACGGAAGTGTTAAAACGTGGCGACGAGCTCGAGAGGACTTCGCTTTCGAACGCCAAACTTAGCGCAAAGTCCTCGTTGACGGGTGGCTAAACCAACGGACACGAGCTAGATACGGCGGATTGCACCATACTCGTACTCGACCACGGAGAGGGCCAGGGGGTCTGCTCCGCATTGCGGTGAATTTATCATCGACCGCATGCCTAGCCGGAAACGCACTTTGGCGCAGAGGCCTCTAACGGCGATCTTGCGGAGTGGAAGACACGTGAGACCGCCTACCTGGCAAGCTGGACGTGCTGCGGTGCGGTGCACGGACTTGATAGCTTTCCTTCACTTTCAATTTACCCGCGACGGTGTCACTTGCTCAACACGTACCAGCATTACGTACACCAACCCCTACCCAACCATGGGTACCGGTCTCTGGTCTCAGGCCGAGCACGATAAGTTCCTAACTGCCATCAAGATGTACCCGCACGGCCCGTGGCGCAAGATCGCGGCGTTCGTCGGCACGCGCTCCATCCGACAAGTGCAGACGCACGCCCAGAAGTACCACGAGAAGGTGGTGCGCCGCATGCGCGGGCTGCACAAGGGCCGCCGGTCCTCCAGTCGCAAGGAGCACCGCATCGACGACGACCTGCTCGCTGCCTGCAAGGTGGGCGAGGGCTTCGGCGTCGTCCTCCCCAACCGCATCGGGTCCCCACCGCAGAAGCCGCCAGCGAGTCCAACGTCGGGCCCCACGGAGCTCATGGTCCCGCTCTTACTGGATTCGATGGCTGGTTCCGCGAGCCCCGACCGCGTGGAGTCGAACGGCATCTCTGACCCTGTTATTGTCCCGGTAATCGCGAGTTCGTCCGGCCAGCTCCCGACGATCGACGAGTCCCTCGACTTCTTGATTGAGCGCTTGTCCAAAGCCGGCAACAAGGCTGTCGAGGTTGAGCTCTGAAGATAAGGCACTATAGAGATTGGCGCTGGCCACATTTGTATGCCTCTTTAACACGCAACGGCGTTGACCTTGTTACTGTTGCCTATCATTTCCACTGCGTCTCCTAAAGATCGATACACTTCAACCAGCTGCCTATAGTACAGCAAACCACGGGTGTGCGATAACGTGTACTGACGGATAAGTCATCGATGATGTGTCCTCGCCGTGGCGAGGGTTCGCGTCGCAGCGCTAATACCTGTCCTCACTTCGTGGCGGGGTGTAGTGTGGTGCCGGGGCCTCATGTCTCCATGATTTCGATCAGGAAGTCGATCGCCTCCTCGAACGGTGGGAGCTCCAAATCGCTTACATCGGCGTCGATGCTGAGTGAGAGATCACGGGGTGCATCCATCCTCCGAGTACATCTCTCCAGCTCGAGCTTGAACTTAGCGCCGTCCAAAGCAAACGCCGCACACCGTCGCAGCGGGCTGTTGTGTGGACTGATCGAAGACTTCTTGGAGCGTCGTTGACTGCGCTTAGGAGTCGATGGCAGGGGCTCGCTCTTGGTCTTGTTGAACTGCTTCATGAGCTCGCAGAACTCGAGAACGTCGTCGCCAATGCGGTGCTCGACCCTCGGCCACGTCTTGCGGTCCTTGCGAAGCCCTCGACCTCGCCTCATGATCTTCTCGTAGTACTTTTGCGCGTGCGTCTGCACCTGCCGGACGGACCGAGTGCCGACTGCTTTGGCGATCGAGAACCACGGACCGCGGGGAAACTCTCGAATAGCGGCGAGGAACCGGTCGTGCTCGTCTTCGGACCAAACGCCGGTCCTGGAAGTGAGGCGTGGGTACCAGCTGCGGATTATTGATGGCATAGATTCAAGTTAGGCGCACTGAGGGAATCACGGAATGAGACTGATCGTGAGACTTTCGGTGGGGATCCACGCGACGAGAATCATGCGTCGACGCGTGACACACATGACGGTACACACTTCTCATCAAGTCATCGGAAAGGGTCTCCGAAAGCGCACTGTCCGTCCACTGCTCAAAGACGCGTGAAGAGCATCCAACGAACTGACGGCCAGGCCCCCTTTGACTATTTTGTTTTCGCGACGAAGGCAAACAGCGCATGACCTGCTCGTATTTTGGGTGTGGTGGGCAGGCCTACTGCTGCGTGGTGCCGGTTCCTAGCAGTGCCCTTCGTTGTCGCGGCCTTCAGCGATGGAGTCTCCACTCAAATTCACAGCGTTGACCACCTTCCCCACGTATAGAGCCTCGACAAAAAGATGAGCAACAACTTCAACTCGGACACTCTCGGATTTTTTCCGACCAAAATGGTTTCGGTGCAGCACGCCTTTGGAACGGGCAGATATTTCTAGCGAGCACTGTTGCGTCGGCGTAGCTGCACATCAACGACGCAATGCGCACCGGTGGATCAGTAAGCCACAGCGCCTCAAGATTCTTGAGCCAAGAATCGATCGACACGGTACAGGCCGCAGCTGCGGTAGGCGGCGCGTTGAATCTGCATTCGTATCTGCATTCGGGTAGGGACAGCTCGTCGTATTTTTTCGAGAACCAAAACTGCATCTTATAGATCGTCTACGTCGGTGCTTGCTTTAGCCCAGACGGAGATGAGGAAATCGAGCGCCTCTTCCAACGGAGGCAGGTCCATCGCGGTAGTGTTGTCGAAGTCCAGTGGCTGATTTATTTCGGCGCCGAGTTCCAGGTAGCTTGCATTGAGCTCTGTGTTTTCGTCCACCACCTCGGCTACGCTGTTGAAATCGTGCGGCGCCAAACATGACGACTCTGAAGGCGGCGTGGAGACGATAGACCCATCGATCGGCTTCTGCATCACCCCGGAGGACTGCCAGTGGGGCTGAGACCGTACGTCTTGATGTGGTTACAGAACGCCAAAATGTCGTCGTCGATGGTCATGGAACATTACGCCGGCAGTTTTTTACCTTACCGTAATTTACCACCGAGAACATTCCTGAAACCTTCTTTCGGGACAGCAGCGATTTCAACGACGACCCCTCTCGACCACTTGAGAGCGAGAGCCACGTCTTTTCGATATGAGGGTAGTTTTAGAACCTCTAAACCGGTCAGATCTAATAGACGTTGATTTGACGACGCCCACTTTATAGCGAGAGCCACGTCTTTTGGACCTTAGGGCGTTTCGGGACCGCTCGTTCAAACCACATTGATAAACCAATAGAACATTACGCCGGCAGATTTTACTAGTAGTTCGGACCAGCGCGACGTGGCGTCTCATCATTGGTTGAAAATCTATGTCACACACCTTCATGTTCGCTTAAGTACGCCAGAAATTCTACATCCTTCTTCCTCATTCCAGAGTCTGCCGGCTCGAGGAAAGATGGTGAAGCTCGTCTGTGCGATCGTTGGTGTGGCGGGAAGCGCTTTCCCTGTGGACATCGACGCGAGTCAGCTGGTCGGAGACTTGAAGGACGCGATCAAGGCGAAGAAGATGTACCAGTTCCCTGCTGACGAGCTGCAGCTCTTCCTGGCGAAGACGGCGGACGGCGCGTGGCTGCCAGACGACGACCAAGCTGCGCTGGATCTGGAGGACGGAAAGGTTCATGAGGACATTCAAGCGTTGATCGATGGCGAGAAGATGAAGGCTACGTGGACAATTGAGGACGTGTTGACAGCTAACAATATGACCAAACGGAAAGGGCGCGCTCCAAAGTCGAGACAAATCCACGTGCTGGTGGTGGTTCCGGAGCAAGAACACGCACAAACTGGATTGTGGCTTGTCACTGGATCCGTTGAAAACGCGTTGATCACGAAAGGGATTCGCTGCAAACTGTACTGGATGGCGACGTTACGCATTGGATACTACGATCCTACGCGCTGCATCGGCAACAAGAATGTCGCGTTTTGGTATGAAGACAAGAAATTGTGTTTTCATGTTTTATTCGAGACAAGTACGTGCTTCTATATGCTGTCGCTGCATCGTAATACTGCTTCATTGAGGGCTAACTCTGTTTCTTTTATAGAAGATGCTGCTTTGCTGTTCGAAACTGACTTAAGGACTGGGCCACAAACGCTGGGCTCTCCGTTAACTAACCAGGTTGTTGAGACGCGTGTTGCACCAGCTAACGCTGTGTCTACTGATCTCCAGCGCGTCTTCTACTGCGACTACGTTCCAGACGATTCGGAATCTCCTCAAAACACAGTTTCATCGATATCGTTGACTACAAGCGTTTCGAATCTGGACCCATCGACTGACGAGTTTCGTTTTCAGCGGATTGAGGACGAGAAGTTCTTCCTACCGTACGGCAAGGCAGAAAGCTGCCATTTGGTGTCGAGAAAGCAAAGCAGAGACCACAAACGGGAATTCGCCAAGTACGATCGCGACTCAAACAACAGGCTTGCGCTTTCTCGCGAAATGCATGGTTGGTTCGACGGTATGAGCATTGAGGTTCCCATCGTCAACATGCTACCCGGATCTGTTGAAGAGAATCAATCCATTGGCAACAGACGCAAGGTACTGTGTGAGCGCGTAGTTCTGGTGTGTGTAAGTTTACTGACATTTGCGTGTAGGTCGAGGTCTTCGTGAAGGTTCTGGATGCTCAGTGCACAGATCGCGTTTTCAGTCGTTTGAAAGGAGGATCAACCAGGACGGACGATCCGCTCATGATGAAGACGTTTGTTCACGTGGAGGATCCAGAAACATTTTGTTTGTGCATGAGGTGGAAGCACGACGATAATGCGGAGCGTTGGAGAAGCTTTTGGGATATGACTCCTGCGGTCGATTGAATGGAATAATGTGGCTCCCGAGTTAAATACTTCGAAGTAGTATTTGATTTCTTGACATACTTTGATCCTGATAAAAATAAAGTTAGTAATATACAAAGATGGCGTACTCTCCTGAGCAATACCAAGCTAGCAAGGAACGAATCAAAGCAGCGCAGAAGCGCTACTACCAGCGCACACGCGAAGCCCGTTTATCTTATCAAAAAGACAACGATGACAAGAACAGAGACCAGATTCGAGCTCGCAAGCGTAAACCCAAAACCGAACTTATTGATGGTGAAGTCGAACTTAATAATGAAACCGAACTTAATTAATTAATTTTTTTTCCTCGGATAAAATGTCGCCTATGATATAAAGTCAATCCTGATACAAGACCCAATATTATAAAGTCCTTTTTTCGGAGAATAATATAGCCACCGATATATAGCAATGTTCGCATACGAGCTTGAAGGTCTTAAGAGATTAAATATTAACCCAATCCGATGGGGTAGCAGCTACCGTATTAAGGTACGCGGCAAGACGGGGCGCATGGTATACATTAGCAACATTTCCCACCCCACCAACCAAAAATTGGTAGCGAAGCAGTACCAGATCAGTCTAGGCAAGCTCCAAAAGAATGTGGCTGCTGATTTCAAGAAAGACAGTAAGTACCGCTTCTACCAAGGCAAGAACATGGAGTCGCACCTCTACGAGGGAATTCAGCCTGCTGAGTTCTACGACAAGCTCGAGAACGTGCTCGCAACCCAGAAGTCTGCCTTCAAGGTCAACATCGCTCTTGGATACAAGCTTGTCAGCAGAACTGATGACAGCGAGACTCGCTACTTCCACCCGAATATTAGCAACACGTCTGTATTTAGCACTCCTGTAGCTATCAACAGCAAGGCTGATATTCGTAAGAAGGTGATCTCGGAGATTCGCTCCATGGAGTTGGCTGACAAGCTCAACTACCCCAGCTCCGGGTACATGGTGAAGGGGATTACTGGCTTCAAAATCTATATCTACCAACGCGACCATGCTCTGGGTGATAGCGAGGCTGTCATTCCTAAGGTGATTCATGATAACAAGCACGTCATCAACTTCCCCAAGACGAACAACAAGTGTGTCTTCCACTGCATTGCGTATCACAAGCAGGAGGGAGCCAAGAAGGATCCTCGTAGAATCCAGGCTCTGGTGAAACAAGCCTTCAAGCAGTACTGTTCGTACAAGGAGATCACCTACACTCTGGGTCTGTTCCGCAATTTCAAGCCTATCGACATTCCAATTCGATGAGCTTGAGGAGTGCTTCAAGCTGAACATCAACGTCTTCAACATGGATGTTGAGACGGGCAAGGTTGAATGCATTCGCTGCTCGGACAAGGACTATGATTCGATCAACATCTTGTCGCACGAGAATCACGCTCTCTACATCACGAACGTTGATATGCTCCAGCAGAAGTACCAATGCTCTACGTGTGAGATGGTGTTTCTTAGCTCTGATAAGCTACGCAACCACACTAAGAACCAATGCGAACTCGTGAACATCGAATCGTTCCCAGCTCAGCCAACCATCTACCAACCCGCTCCGAACAGCATTCGTTCCATGCTGACTAAGTACTCCATCAAGGATGCTGGCCATTACATTGATCACTTCATTGTCTATGATTTTGAGGCTATCCTCAAGCCTACGGGTGTCAAAAACGGAGAGAATACTATCTTCACAAACGAACACATTCCTGTGTCTGTTACCGTGGCCGACAGCTTGACTGAGGAGGTGCGATGCTTCGTCAGCGATGACCCGAAGGAGTTGCTCAAGGATATGTTCCAGTACATCAAGGAAGTTGTGGCTAAGATTCAGCAGTACAACGTCTCGAAGTACGAGTCTTTGCTCCGCAAAATCATCAACGTCCATGATTTGACTGACGCTGAGGTTCCTGGTCTAGACTTGGGTAAGACGTACAAGATGGATGATGTCAATGCTTGGATTCAGAACGGGGAGTTTGCTTGTTTCTTCGATTTCCACAGCAAGCTCACATTCGGTAAGAAGCGCTCGGATTATGGCAAGCTGACGCAGTGCATTGGTCATGTACCAGTATTCGGATTCAACTCTGGACGCTAAGACATCAACCTTATCAAGGCGGACCTGTTTACAGTCATCGGTACTAACAACATCACATCAGTCATCAAGAACCCTAGCTACATGTGCATCGCCACGTCAGACATGAAAATGCTTGACATTAGCAACTATGTTCCGGCAGGCACCAGCTATGCAAAGTACTTGTCGACATATCTCGGTGAGTGCAAGTGTGATGACAAGATTCGATGCGTCTGTGGCCCAGGAAAAGGGATCTTCCCATACGAGTACATTACTTCATTTGAGGTACTCAGTCAGCCGGAAGTCCCTCCTAAGTCGGCGTTCGACAGTGCTCTTCGTAGCACTAGCATCAGCGATGAGGACTATGTGCGGGTACAGTTCGTCTCGGAACACTATGACATGAAGTCAATCAAGGATCTACTCATTTGGTACAACAACCTCGATGTAGTACCCTTCATCAAGGCCATCAAAGCCCAGCGAGAACTATTCAAACGTTTCGAACTTGATATGTTCACTGATGGTGTGTCGCTACCTGGTCTCTCTGAGAAAGTCATGTATCAGACGTGCTTCAACAACCTCCAGCAACCAAGTAAGGAGCCTGCTGAAGCGTTTGACTTTCCCGCTAGTCGCTTAAGTGGATATAAGACCCAGGATGCTGATGCCGATCGTGAATTCAATATGACGCTAGAACACCTCAACGACTTGCTAGAGCGACAAAAGTACCTGTGTGGGCTATGCTACAAGCAACTCACAGCTTATACTGCCTCGGCTGACCGAATCAATAACAAGCTCGGACACATCGATGGTAATATCTTGATCAGCTGTGTGGGATGCAACGTTGCTCGCAAAAACATGTCGCTAAAGGGCTTCCGCCACAAGAAGCTACTTGAATTCAACTCAGACAGGTTGGTGTGCAGTATCGATAGAGAGGAGAATCTACACCAAGATGAAGGCGAACATTGCTGGTGGTCCTTCTATCATCTTCACCAGATACGCGAAACGCAACGAGACCAAGATTCGAGGGGGTAGGATCTGCAAAAAGATCATCGGCTACGATGCTAATGCTCTGTATTTGTGGGCTCTTGGTAATGAGATGCCATGTGGACGGTTGACTACCATCGAAGCATACACAGGGATCGTCGATGATATTGTAAATGACAAGATCTTTGGCTTCCTCGAGTGTGATATCCGTACACCAGAGCACCTCAAACCCTACTTCAGTGAAATGACCCCAATTTTCAAGAACACCCTTATCGACCGCAGCGATCGGAGTGTCATCGGTCAGCACATGTTCGAGTACAACGAGGAGCGCAAGCAAAGCCGAGCAAAGCCGGCTCGCAAACTCATCGGGAGCTACTTTGGTGAGAAGATCCTCATTTATGCACCGCTACTCAAATGGTACATTTCTCATGGTATGGAGATCACCAAGACTTACAGCTTCATCAAGGCTAGCTCCCACAAGGCATTTGTACCATTCATGGAAGCCGTATCGAGCGCGCGACGAGAGGGTGATGAAAATGTTAAATCCATCTGTAAGATCATTATTGAGAAGGTATCTGACTCTGATATGGATGATTTAGTCCAAGAGTTGAAAAAAATCATTACGAACCCTAAATCATTTGATGCGCTCATTATCGATAGATTCATGAATGAATCGACAACCAATCCTAAGATTCATTTGGTCCTAGACTTGTTGACTAAGCTGAAAACGCTTAGTGAGGGTAGCAATAATAATGCTATGATTGCTGAGATGATGAAACTGGTTGGTAATAGTGCGTTTGGTCGATCTGGCATGGACATGAGCAAGCACAAGGAGGTCAGGTATGAGTCGGACGATAAGGCAATCAAGGCCAAGATTGAGCACTTCACCTTCCATGGAATGGAAGAGCTGAATGATTCATGTGAATTCACTATGAAGAAGCGAAAGCTCAACAAGAAGAACCCAATTCATCTATCGATTGCAATCTATCAGCTCGCTAAGCTCCGTATGTTGCAATTCTACTATGATTGCATTGACTTCTACTTCGACCGTTCCGAATTCCAGTACCAAGAAATGGACACAGACTCGGCTTATATTGCGTTTAGCTGTGAGAAGCCATTCGTTGAGTGTATCAAGCCCGAGCTTCGTGAGCATTTTCAGCAGCATAAGTACGAGTGGTTCCCACGTGATTATAGCGAAGAGATGGCTCAGTTTGATCGCCGAACGCCAGGTTTGTTCAAGGATGAGTGGTCTGGTGATGCTATGGTATCATTGTCCTCTAAGAACTACATTTGCTACCTACCAGACGAATCTTACAAGGTCAAGGTTTCAGCGAAGGGAGTCCAGCAGAGTGGTGGCCGCAATGGCGACGTCCTCAACCCATATGGCTTTGAATCAGTTGTTCGCGATCGCATCACGCTACAGGGCACCATCAAGGGGTTTAGACTCAGTAAGGAGAGTAAGTCAATCATTACGTACACCCAGACTAAAACAGCTCTAAACTACTATTATGACAAGCGTCGTGTACTTGCGGATGGTATCACCACCGAATCGCTCGACATATACGCAACTACCTGGCAGAGGATTTTTTTGTTTTATAACCATATAGAGCGATGGATCAGCTGTTGTCCAAATTATACTATGACCCCAAAACGGGCTATGTGGGTGCCCAAGCCTTATACCAGAAGGCTAAAGAACTGGAGCCGAAGATTACGATGAAAATCGTCAAGGAATGGTACTCAAACCAGAGCGATATTCAGCGATTTCAGGAGCAGAAGAAGCGATACGATGGGTTCAAAATCGCATCGACTAACCCCAATTCGTGGCAGATGGACTTGGCGTTTTGGGAGAAAAGACCAATCTTGACTGCGATCAACATCAACTCTCGCCTAGGCTACGCAAAACTACTAACCAACAAAACTGGCCCGACCGTACTAGCAGCAATTAGGGTTTTTGTCCGCCTCCATAAGGTTGACATTCTCACAACCGATAATGGTTCAGAATTCATGAACCAACCGGCTCAGAAATTATTCAAAACTAAGAAAATTGACCATTTCAACAATGAGCCTGGAGATCACGCCAAAATGGGTAAAACTGAACGTTTCAATAGAACTCTGAAGCAGCGCCTTGTCAAAATCGAACCAAAGCGACTAACCCAGAAGCTCATAGCTGCTGTTATTGAGAACTACAATAGCACGACCCATCGGACGATTGGTATGACCCCCAACGAAGCTAAAGGTAAGGTAATTGAATCTGAACTAGTCCACAACCAGGCTGAAGCCGAGAGGATTGAAAACGAGTTCGAGGTCGGTGAAAAGATTTTGTATCGACTAAAAAAGAAAACATTTGATAAAGAAGCAGCAAGATGGTCTAAGGCTGTGTATTCGGTGGTAGGTATTGATGGCTACCGCATCCAAATCAAGTCGAAAAACGGACACACTCTTTACAAGGGGCCAAACGATCTAAAAATTGTTAAAGCAGAAACATCTGAAGCTACTATCAACAGAGGTGATATTTTAGAGGTGGAGAAGATCTTAGACCACAAAAAGATGCGATCCGGCAAGTACAAGTATCTCGTGCAGTGGGTCGGTAATGAACTTGACTCCTGGGAGCCACAAGATAATCTTAGATTAGTCAATAAGAACAAGAGATCAACCTTAGAGAATGAGTACTGGAAGTCGATAAAAAATGAGTCGAACTAGCTTCGAAATAAGTTTAATAGAGCAATCCTCTGTAAGCGTTGACTCATCTATATCTATCAATCTATATTCCAAAAATAATGCTTAAAAATATATGACTTCATATATAGAATGTGTTGCAACTGCGTAGAGAATCAACGTGAGCTTGTACAGCTCCGAAGAAAGCTGTGGATAATTCAAGAGGTTAGTCGAATCAAAAATGAACTCAGCGATTTAGACCCAGTAGCCAATTTCCGGAAAACCGTGTGCAATCTACAGTACCGCGACCAGTTAGAAACGATATTTGGTGTGCCGTTTCATTGCATCAAGGATCGATACATCAATCTCCTCAATGAGCGAAACCGTATCTGTCATACGTATCAACCATTTAGGCATGACTCCGTTATGCCAAGCTATTGGTGAGTACGTATTTGATCCATGCTAATATTTTTTTATGACTACCATGATATAGTTAGACGATGTTTCCCAACTTTACATCCCTCGCTCAACGAGAGCAAAAGCGGCAGGAGCTACTCGAACGAGCTGAGCGCCGAGTTCGTCAAGCCAAGTCCAAGCGCCTTATGTACGAAGGTGCATCATGGGCTAGCGATATCGCGAATGGTATCACTACTGTTCCAAAGAAATCAACACAATCCGCTCAGTCTGATATTTCGGTTGGCCCTGACGAGGCTACGCCGGAAGAGTTAAAAAAAAGTCTGAATATTGGAAACTCTCAAAAAAAACCTGAGTCCTCAACAATGGTAGATGCTGAAGTTAATGCAACACCTGAAATGAACGATGCATCGACTACTGCAAAGCCTCAGTCCGTTGATGCTTCCAGTACTAAGCCCAAAACCAGTGATGGTTGGGTCCACGTGAGCCCCGATATGACTGATGTTGGAGTTGATAATAGTGCAAGAATGACAGATGCTGTGTTGGCCCTGATAGTCCACTGCCGCAAAAGCCCGTCGAAGAAGATTTGTTCGACGAAGGCAATGCTGAGATGAAAAATCAAACAAAGTCAAAGGAAGCGGTCGCTAAAATCTTCGAGGTTTACCCCATCCTTGCAGAACTAAATATTCACCCTATTGCTTCCAACGGCCGGCAGCTTACTAAGTATTATATTGGGATGGATGCTAAGGTGTACAGTATTAAACTGAGAAAATATGTACTAGTTCCGAGCATTGATTGGTCTGAGACGTATGACCATATTGGTGAGGTATTAATTAATGATGTCAGATTCCTCGCATACGTCAATGAGAATGAGCGACGTAATGAGATGGGTAAAGAGGACAAAAATAGTTCATACCAGGTTTGGCAAAATATTGGCTCAAAAAAAAAAGAATCAATGTCTCAGAAGGAGATTATTCAAACCGCTCTAAGCAGAGACTTGACGACAGTTTTTGTGTTCGATACTGGAACATCCACAAGATCCGATCAAATGGACAGCAAGCTCAAATTATTTAAGACAATTAGCAAAAATAGGGAAGTCATTGAATCTAACGGATTGATAAAGAAGATTGTATCTTAATGGTTCCGCAAAATCTTCTCCTATTGACAAAGATGGCTATGTTTGGATCAATGGCAATAGCATTAGCGTTTACGGGAAAGATAGCGATCGTGTGAAGCAAGCAATCACTCAGAAAGTGAACTGGATAATGACATTCCAATCTTTCATTAATATGACTAAAGCCAGGGGCCTCGAGTTAGAACTAGTTGGTAGCAATGAAACCAAACACATAAATGATTTTGCCCCAGCTAATGGTGAAGCTCAGCGTGGGTTAATGAGTGGTATTGATGAAGACATGGACCCAAGCCTATCAAACGCTGATAACGACGCCAAGAATATCTTAACTGATTACTACAGCCAGTTGCACGCTAATAGTATTGATATTCCATTTCGGCTACAACCAATCGTTAAAATCAACGGTGTTGTTAAGTCCCATCCATCATACTACTTTGGGCAGCCATCGGGGTCTAGACCCCTAAATATTTTAAATCGTGAAAACAAAGCACACAAGCAGGTGAGTGGTGTAGCTTGGAAGGGGCTAATGAAGAATATCATGTGGATGGATACCTTTTCGTCCCTACTCAACGGGGTTGAGGACTTGGACCGCTATCTTAATGAGGTTGAATACCCCTTCCCATCGAGCGATGAAGAAGCAGCTAAGATACTTGAAGAAAAGGAGCTTGATAAGAAAAGACGTAAAAACCTGGATGCAAATCTTGAAATATTGAATGAGGCTATTCTAAAGTCTGTACACGATATTAGACAGCAAAGCGTTGAAGAGTATGAATACGATGACAGCTTGCAAAAGCTTCGTGATGAGTCAGAAGCAGCTTTTCAGACATACGGTGAGGCTCAGAAACGCTATGAAGAAGCAAAAGAGGCTATTAGAGGGAATAACTCAAAAGCAGCGAGATCGGTGTTGAAGGCAGCTACATCAGCTATGAAGGCGACAAAATCGATATATCAAACGAAGGCTAAGCGATACGCCGAGGCAAGCGAGGTATCCGGCAGTGGCGTTAAACGAAAGCTTCAAGGTCGAGGATTGCGCGGTGCAGGTGTTGCCCCGCTGGAAGGTGTAGTTCGCCGAGGCCGTACCTACAATCTCAATGAGATCCAAGGATTAGCAACGCCGTCAGCCTACACATACAAGCAGATCGGAAGCAAGTATATTCGTATCCCCGACCTTGATGCTAAAAAGCTCGTGATCGTTCAGCCGAATCGGCGTAAATGTGGTCCTAAGTGGAAAATCAGTGATAGCCTCCAAGCCATGATCAAGGCACTTGTCTATAAGAACCGTATCGATCAATCCGCTTACGATAAGCGCAGCGTTGAAGATAAGAAACTGTTCAAGGAGGTTCTATCGATTACTCATCTCCAATACAGCTTCCACGATAAGTTAGTGGATCCTCTAGATACGCTTAGGTCTGAATACGATAAGCTAAAAGGAGAGCTACAACTCGGAAATGACAACCCCAGTATCATCAAGCAGCTCAAGTCTCTCACGGTGGATATGTACAGCAATCGACTGATTGATGATAAAGAGTTCAAAGATATTATCACCCGTTTATTATAAAACCATGTTCTTCTTCAACTCGCGCATTATATCCAGTTCCGGAGGCAGCTATGGTGGCAATAGCGACCTTACCGTCGCTGAGTTGAAAGCTATCATGAAGAACCTCATCATTCATGATCGTCCCCAGAAGACCCAAGCCGCTGTGTGGGCTACTGACCTCGACAAGTCGACCAAGAAGGTGGAGGCATCTACCCAAACGGAAGGCGGCCGAGTCTGGGCTTACCAGCCAAAAAAAAGTCAAAGTCTGAAGACATTTGCTCTATAGAGCAGAGCGGATATACTTAGATGTCTACGTCTGTTTTCTTCTCTCGATAGAGTCTGATTTTTTATCTCCGATATCGATAGCCATGACAGCATTCTTGCCACTATGTACGTTGTACATTGGGATATAAGCATAATTCCCTATCGAAACCACTCCAGCGTGTATCGTTATTGAACCGATGACTTGGCCAGTTTCAGGGTTAGTCAGGTTCTTTTTGATCGTTTTACTTGGTCCACAGCCCATGATACTCTATTACAACGAAGTACTCAAGATCTGCTCTATATTTATCGGTGCAAAATTATCCCTGAGCCAATACCATATATAACCCTCTCGTGGAATTCGACAATTCGATCACATTGTAGTTGATCAGTATCAACGACATTAGCGTTAGTAGTCTGAGGGCAAGCGGTCTTCGCCACGAACTGGGTTTGACAGATACCATTCTATATTTACTCAGACATAATCGCTCTCAACTCATTGAGTTCATCTTTGAGATTATTGATTTGGCCTTGCTGTTCTTGGATAGATTTACACAGTACCGAGGTTAAACTGGCGAGATCGATTCCCCATGGATTCACTGGAAACCCATCCGGATTAAGCTCATCGTTTGCTCCGATATCTACTGCTTCTGGTATGACCTTATACAGCTCCTGCGCGATATAGCCAACATGGACAGTCTGCTCTTGAACCATCCTGAATTTTCTAGGTCTCATTCTCATAAGGCTTGCCAAACCATAGGGACAGTCTACAATGTCCGCCTTCAACCTCTCATCGCTTGCATTGGTATAGCTTCCTCCACGCACCGGGACATAGGCTGTCCACGCGTAATTTGCATCGCATTTTCCCAACCTGATAGCTCCTACGGTTGAATCAGTACCAATCGCTGGATAGTCAGTCTGAGACCAATTGAATCGATACCTAGCAAATCCATCGCCGCCTCCCTTTACGTGCATGAAATTATTCGCCCATACCTCTCCGCCTGAGTGAATGGTTGCTTCTGGCGACCACGTACTCATACCAACTCCCAGTCTTCCTGAGCTGTTTAGATAAGCTTGAGTTGTGTTTCCAACCATGAACCTTAGCGGGTCGCTGGTAGTGGTGCCTAGAGCTACACCACTACTTCCTCCCGCGACATCGTTGTATACCTGAATTTCAAATTCGATTGGAGTAGTAGCATCGTTGGCTATACGCATTGCGCGTTGCCAAGACCCGCTTAGTAAATTCGCGCTCGAAACTATATCTATTCTTGCAGTACTGGTAGCTGATCCAAAGCGAATGTATCCTGCTTGAGTGATTCCCATACGTTCAGTCATTGGTGATAATGCATTAGCTCCTGACCGTGTACTGATTGCAAAATCAGCCATTGAATATTGAAGACTCGTAGCGGTTCTAGTACAATATAGACTAACGCTGGGGGTGTACGTTGTCATATCACTAGTACCTTCAATCGTGAACGATAATCCGGCCTGAGCGCCAACCGTATTGCTTTGATTACGAATCATGAGATTAAAATCAGAGGCACGCGTTGTTGATGTAAATGATGTCCCGGCCGCAATCTGACATTGGGTAGAAGTAGTGGATATCAGATTGGTTGACGTTAGAGATGAGATACCTGATGAGATGCTACTATTAGAGTCTAGTACAAGAACCTTTGATGCTTCTGCAGTTCCTGCTCCGGTGGTAAGATCTAGATAGTTCAGCTCAACGGTAGATGCTGTGCATCCAGCAAGCTTGTTCAGCTCCGCACCTGAGTATCTCCCCTGAGTTGAAGCGTAGTCGGATTGATATTCAAGGTCGTTGCATTCATAGTTTGAGTACCTGACTTACTAATTGTATCACATGTGATCGTAGGCGATGATATTGAAGTCTATTGAGGGTTGCTGGTCTTGGGTACTGTGTACCAGTTGTACCCATTAACTGGTTAACCCGAACCGGTCCAATCCGAACCCACGTTGATTATGGTGATTACGGTAAGTTGTTTACGCCACCGATGATTAGACGAGTAGGATGATTGGATGAACACCGGTGAGTGATGGTTGATTAGATGCACTAGGTGATAGGACGCAGGGTCGCGTGTCTATAACAGTAGGGTGTAAGCTCCAACAATTCAATCACTTTCGAATCTTCATTCTACCCCTCAAGTGCCTTCGCTCCGGTCCCGCCGTCTGCGACGTCCCTCCCTCCGCTTCGTCCGAGCTTCGTGTCCAAGATCCATACCTTCCATCAGGTTATGAGCCCAAGCACCATGTCCTCTGCCCAAGACGCCTCGACCAAGGTCTCCATTGACAAGTTCAACGGGGACAACTACGCGACGTGGAACCGCTACATGCGTGGCGTGTTCCTGACCAAGTCGACGTGGCATGTCGTGAACCGCGAGACGACGCCGAGCTTCACGGACTCGCGGGCCAAGGACGACTACGTCAAGTCGAGCAACATCGCGTTCGGACTGATGTTGCTCCACATGGACGCGGACTACCACCATGTGGTCGACGACTGCGAGGAAGCGTGGGTTGCGTGGACGCGCCTGAAGACGCTGTACGGTGGTTCGCAGAAGGCTGGACGCATCTACCTGAAGCGCCAACTCTTCAGCATGGAGATGTCGGAAGGCGGCAACGTCTTGCATCATTGCAACGAGGTCCTCAACATCAGCGCCAAGCTCAGCAGCATCGGCGCCAAGATGGAGGATGAGGACGTGGCCTTCTGCCTGTTGCGCAGCCTCCCCAAGAGCTACGAGAACGTCGTGCTGAACTTGGAGGTGAGCAGCGCTGAACTACGATCGCAAGACGTCGTGAAGGTGCTGACGAATGAGCACATCAAGAGACAAGGCGAGAAGACGGCGACGGTGAAGACGGAGAATGCGGCCAAGGCGTTCAACACCGACCGAGAGTCTCGCCAGTGTACGTACTGCGGGAAATTGGGGCACACGATTGACAAGTGCTGGACCAAGCAGAAGGACGAGAATCGGGGCCCAAGACGCGGCGGCAATGGCAATGGCCGTGGACGCGGGGCCAACAATGCCCAGTGGAGGAACGACGACGCCAGCTACAACTACGACTACGGCTATGATCGAGTGGCGTTCGCGGTCTCACTGGAGTGTGGCATTTCGACGGGCAAGAATGTGTCCGGGTTGTGGGCGGTAGACAGCGGCGCAACGCACCACATCTGCAACGACAAGGCCAAGTTCGCTCATTTGATTGAGCGGAATGAAGGCAAACTTTCGGTGGCCGACGGCAACAAGGCGGCCATCATGGGTGTGGGGACCATCGTGGAACGAGTGGTTCTGCCCAACGGCGACGAGCGCGACATCGAGATCAAGAACGCGCTGTACGTCCCAAGCATGAGCAAGAATCTGCTTTCGGTGCCACAGATCAACAAGAGTGGTCTGTTCCAAGTCGTGTTCGACAGCACCAAAATTCAGATTGCGCACAGGAGCTCCAAGCAAGTGGTGGCGACGGCAAACCTCGTGGATGGACTCTACTGGCTCCAGACGCCTCAGCGATCGGCGAATGCGGCGACCAGTGGGAAGACGGTCGACTTACACGCGCGTATGGGTCACGCTCCGGTGGAGGTGCTTCGCAAGATGGTCGACAACAACATGATCATGGACGCGAAGGCACCTTCCAAGTCGAGTGGACCAAGCGTGTGTCGCGGCTGCCAGCAAGGGAAAATGGTCCAGAAGCCGTTCCCAAGCAACCGTGACAAGCGTCACTACGACACGTTCGAGCTGCTCCACTTCGACGTGTGCGGCCCCATGGAAGAAGAGTCACTGGGTGGCAGCAAGTATCTGTTGCTGATCGTGGACGAAGCCAGCGGATGCATGAAGGGGTTCTGCCTGCGTGCCAAGTCGGAGAGCGAGGACTGCATCAAGATGTACGTCACGAAGGTGCAGACGCAGTTCGGCAAGAAGGTCAAGTTTGTGCGGCACGACGGATCCCGTGAGTTCGCGACCAACTCGCTCAAGGCCTTCTACGAAGTCGAAGGCATCGAGCAGCAAACCACGGTTCCGTACGCGCACCAGACCAACGGCACGGCAGAACGCGCCATCCGGACCATCGTCACGATTGGCCGCAGCATGCTGCATCACGCCAAGCTGGACAAGAGCTTCTGGGCTGAGGCGGCCATGACAGCCATCTACGTGAAGAATCGTCTGCCATCACCCAAGCTCGAACACAAGACTCCGTTCGAGATCGTTTACAAGTCCAAGCCGAGTGTGAAGCTCATGCGTGTGTTCGGATGCCAGACGTACATCCTGACGCCGAAGGAAAGACGGCGCAAGTGGGACCCCGAGGCTCGCGCCGGGCTGTTCCTCGGCTACGAAGAAGTGTCCAAGGCGTATCGAGTTTATGACATCGAGGCGGGGCAGGTGGTTATCAGTCGCGATGTCAACTTCGATGAGTCGACCTTTGGACTTTCGACGCATACTTCGGATGAAGACGTCGATGATGCTGTGCTGGACTTGGACGCGCTGGACCTGGACGACAACGATGGACCGCGCCAAACGAGCTTCAAGCAGGCGGGGAAGCGCAAGTACCGACCGAGTGGCGACGACAACACTGCCAGAACATCGCGCCCCGTTCGCCACCGAGCTGGCTTAGAAGAAGCAAGTGCGCCGGACGTATCCTCCTCGCGCCGAGCCGACCCCGACGAGGAAGAAAAGTCTGGGGACCAAGATGAAGACGACGACTCGACGCCCCCAGTGTTTTGGCGTGCCAGTGCCAACGCTGTGGAAGCAGCAGCCGATCTATCGGAGCCGACGACGTTCCAAGAGGCTGTGAACGGTCCTGATCAAGTGCACTGGCGCAAAGCGATCCGCGCAGAGCTCAAGTCGATGCGACTGCGTGGTGTGTTTCGAGCTGCCAAGTTGCCTAACGGACAACGCGCCATCGATACCAAGTGGGTGTTCAAGATCAAGCGCAAAGCGGACGGCTCGATCGAGAAGTACAAGGCGCGCCTCGTGGCCAAGGGCTTCAAGCAGAAGTACGGCATTGACTACACCGAGACGT